TCGGGCCTATGCAAATGAGCCTGGGGAGCAGGGGCTTATGGGGGCTCAGTGGAAGGTTCCATGCTGGTGATTCCAGCAGAGATCCCTGTACATGAGTGACAGCAGAGTCAGGACAGCATTAGTGGGGTTAAAATAGCACAGGGATGGGGGAGTCTGCTAGAGGGGATGGTTTCCGGAAGGATCCCACGAGAGCTCACCTGCTTTTGGGGAATATGACTTAGCAGTTAAGTCATGTGTTTGGGTCATGCTCAGCTATGAGATTTCCTCATTTTATAGTTTAGCTTTCAAAACGGGGCTCCTGGAATATTTATGAAGCCTGTTTGGCGTTGCGTTGTATGCAAACACCACTGTGCAAATATTAGAGTTTGTCGTAAGTGCAAATGGGAGGCGGCCCCTGCCAGGCTCTGTTGCGTAACTGACCAATGAGTGTAACCAAGACGTAGGGAAGGAACAGGAAGCAAAAAGGGTCATTGTCATTTGCGTTATTATGGCAAATGCAGTCTGTAGACTGGAAGATATGCAGTATCACCTGGCGCCTGCACAAAGACTTCCAATGACATCAGCATCTTTACGAAGGCGTCCAATGACAACAGAATCTTCATAAAGGCGTCCAATGACACCGGCACCTTCATAAAGGCGTCCAATGACAACAGCACCTTCATAAAGGCATCCAATGACACCGGCACCTTCACGAAGGCATCCAATGACACCGGCACCTTCATAAAGGCGTCCAATGACACCGGCACCTTCATGAAGGCATCCAATGACACCGGCACCTTCATAAAGGCGTCCAATGACACCGGCACCTTCATAAAGGCGTCCAATGACACCGGCACCTTCATAAAGGCGTCCAATGACACCGGTGCCAGCATGAAGACATCCAGTGACACTGGGCACCTACTGGCTCCTGTTTATAAAGACCCCACAGTTTCTCCAGCTTGCATTCATGTCGTAGCTCAGGGATAATGATTCTGTTTCCTCCTCAGGCCTGAGTCGTGAGCCCCGCTCAAAGCGGACATTCATACCTACCACCATCGGGGCGGGGGGGGGGGGGCTTCCACATTCCCTGTAATCGTATTTCTGCTTCCCATGTTCTGTGCCGCTGTTTTCCACTTGCCTGGATGACCTGCCTTGAAGGGGTTGTTGATAATCTTCATTTTCAACCTTGTATTTGGGGGAAATTGGGTTTATGTGGTTTTTTTTTGGTCCCCTGAAAGTTAAGGAAGAGCTGGACCCAATGATTGTTCTCATTCTGTGAGTTATATGGGTCACTTACACAGGAGGCTGAAGGCCCTGAAACTCAGTCGGGCTTGGAGCGTGTGGCAGGGCGTGGTGAGTAAACACACAGCCGCGTTTGTACAGGGAGGCGGACCATTAGATGTTTTCTTAGGACTTAAGTATTATTTTGCTTTGCTAAACCTTCTGCTGTGCTTGTGATTGGAAGGTGATTGGGGGGGGGGAAGAAAGGTATGTAGCTTTGGATAAAACCACTGGCTACATCGTTTTTGTGTGTAGTACAGCGCAGTGGGTATATGCGTAGATCAGCCACACAGTCAGATGGACTGATCTGCCACCTTCTCCTCGATTCTGTTCAGTCTTCAGCGGTTATATTGATTTTCATTAATGAATGTTAGTTTGAGCTTTCCCTTTATGATGGGCATAAATGACGCTGCGTTACCTGTAATCGACATCCTGCAGGGTAATTGAAATGTCAGCTGTAATCAAATTTAGTGATTTATTTTTAAAATATTTAATATTTCTGAAACCAAAGCCCCAACGTACCGCCAAAACGTCCGTTCAGCACTACAGGCTGATTATGGAGTTTGGCGGTGAATAGTGCCGCCTCTTAATTACACATCATTGACATTAACAGTAAGGTGACGAAGCAATCTAAAAATGTCCAGCGTATGTAATCTTTAAATCATAACACCGGAAGATAAAGACCATCCCTGTGGAGCCTGTTTAGTGGTGTGTAAAACAATGGCTGAGGGTTACCAGCTCTCACGCATCCGGCGTGACACTCACGCTTTCTGACTGTCATACTCACCAAGAAATCTCACGGCAAATCTATATTATTCCATTATAAACCTAAAGTCAGCGTTGAGGCAGTTTGCAAACCCTACATACTATTTACAATGTAATAAAACTCTCACATACACGTAAATGTCCGTACATGTGTGTGCAGACTTGTTTTGAAATGAAAATCTCACGCCAGCCAGCTGACCAAAACTGGCAACCCTGCAATATTCCGGAAGCTTCTCATGCAGATCTTCCCCCAGGTTATGCGTCTGCTTTGAAATGTATTTAGTGATGGTGATGGAACATCATGAATTCCTGTACGATTTTATAACTGTCACCTGCAATCGGTCTAAAAGGTTTCTTAGGTTAATAAAAATGGATATTTGTATTAGTGTCTAACAAGGAAAAATCTTTACAAAGCGAACAGCGGATTTGTTATAAAACTGTAAATTTAATATGAATTAAGCAGGGGGGGCGATGTCACTCCAAATGCACGGATATCATAAAAGCTGCCGATCTCTCCATCTCTGCTCTCAAGCTGCTTTATGGGTCCGGATTGCAGTTTAATGTAGCGTTATACAGCAGCCGCGTTAATGTTTTTCCGTGAGCTCCGAAGGCGCTACTCCGCGCTGGCAGCCCGTTCTGATTTGTGTCCCTCCACCTCTGGATACTATAAAACTTCATGAGCAAATGAAAAACTATGATTCCGTGATTGCGCAAAAGAGGAATATTTTATTCTGCACGTATTGTGGCCGCTGCAGTCCATTCGACCACTTTTAATTAACTCAACAACAGAAGCTATTTTGAAGTTCTACTGTATGTCTGTTTTCAAGCTAATCACATTTATACTGTCAAACATTATTAAATATTTCTTGAAAAGGATCTGAAAATATAACACAATACGAATGTTTGACATGATTCTCTGTTTAACACTGACTCATAAAATTGATATGGCAAATTCACACAATTCTTCATATTTAATACTGATTGAAAAATTCATTTTCCATTAATTTTCACACCTACTTACATTCTCAGAATTTTTCTGATTATTTTAATTATTGTCTTGTAATGACTTAGTTCTTCATAAACAGAAAGTATCAAAAAAAAAGACGTAAAAAAACTTTACGCGCGTTCCGCGTGAATCCGCCTTCTGATCTCTGCCTGTGTCTCACCGCGCCAGGCATCGCGTTCACCCAAAGCACATGCTGGGACATTAAAACCCAGGGAAAGGGTTTTGTTGGAAGCTTCGGTCATGGCTTATATACAAGGGTGAGGATGACATCTGCAGCCTGCTTGTTTCCCTAGAATGTTCTGTGTGGTTTGGGTTTAAACACATGTTCAGCCCTGTAAAAAGAGAGCAGTCCGAATCCTGAAGGACATTCAGACGTTTAGCAGATAGGCATCTTTACTCATCCTGGATTCAGCGTAATCGAGCTCCATGAGCTGCCTGTTTGGGTCAGACCTCCCCTGCGGCCACCAGCCTTGTCTTCTTTTCTCCTTCTCAGTTCCAGATTTTTCTTTGGCTTTCAGGAACACGTTGTCTTTTCGGTCGACAAGAAAACATACAGATATCAGTGGGGCATTAATGAGTTACGTTGATCAGTGGGGTTTATGCATTTGTATCGATGGATATCACATCTGCTGGTTTTGTTTACAGTGTTTTGCGCCTCAGTGCTGACAGTGAGGCTCAGTGCAGCAGCCTCAGTGTCAGTGGGTCTGTTCTGTGGGTGTCTAAGGAGGTGCCTGCAGTCGCCGCAGCTGCTCCCTCCTCTTCAGCTTCCCTCTGAAGACTGGTCTGGAAAAGCAGGAGAATGCGCTCCGTGTGTCTGTAAATGAGTCATTCTGCAGACGCGGAACGTGTTTTCCCCATAGGCTGATACTCACTCTGTGTTTATTTTCATTTATCTACCTATTGCCAATCGCGAGCGTGGGACAACGACTGACAGTAAATGTTCGTTTCCCGCATTTAGTGGGTCTGTGAAACGCCACCATTAGTGCCTGAAGACAGGATTAAACTGCGTATCTCTCTGTCACGGAGAGTCAGCAATCTCCTCCTCTGTTGATTGAATCGACTCCTGTCTGCCTCATGCGTCGCCTCTATAAGTGTACCAGCAAAACAGCAGAAGTAACTAGAGATGCATTTCCGCAAGAAAATGCAAATGTGACAGCGCCTGCAGCATCAGTCATTCATTGCATACCATAACCAGTGCAATTAAGTGGCTACTAGCGCTCGGCCAAGGAAAGAAAGGATTGACTATCTGGAAAAAGGGATGAAAAAGAGGGATGTGGGTGGGATATCAAAGAAAAAAATAAAAGCACACTTCTTAATGGGTGGAAAATTTGAGAGGTGGAACAGAGTTCCTGGGTGAAAAACTAGGAGGAGGTAGGTGGCAAAAACAGAACTGAAGTCAATGGGAGGGAGGAGAAAGAAGGAATGAAGAAGGGAGAAATGGATGAAAGTTGGTTGAATACTTTTCAGCTGCACACTGGATGTCTTCAGCAAGTTTCGAGGTTTTATGTTGAAGACTGACTGAATGGGAGCAGTTTGAAAAATTGACAAAAAGAGTGATGCGGGTGGAATATCAAAAATATAAGCACACTTCTCCTTAATGGGGGGGATCATCTGAGGGGGGAGTTTCTAGGTGAAAAACTGAATAATGAATAACAAAATTTCTTTTTTTTTTATTAAAATAAAATTGGGAATAATAAAAAATAAGAATAACAGTTAAACTTAAAAAGAACAGCATGTGGCTGTATGTGCAATCTCATAATAATAATGATAATGATAATAATAATAATAATAATAACAATAATCACCATCACCGGCAGCGGATTTCGGGAATCAGAGAGAGCTCCTCTGTTCGCCCACCAGATGACGTGGCATTAGTGCACTGGTGCCGTGGCGACTCGCCACCCGCCTCTGATACCCAGCAAACCTGCTTCAGGGGGCTCATCCCGTCTCTGCTGCCCCTCCTTGGCAGGTACACCCTGCCCGCCAGTGGGGGCCTTCCGCAGTGCACGGCTGAAATAGAGATGGCCAGTGGCACGGAGCAATGGAACGAGAGCCCCCCCTCGCACCCTGGGCTGCAGGTACGCCTCCCCTCCTCCCCACAGCTTCTGCCCTGGCAAAATAATGTTCTGCAGTTGTTCTTAATAATTGGAGTCCACCTGCATGTTTGCCTGGTCCCATAGGTGGAGTTGGGACCCATCTTCCTGGGAGGGGTCCCAGCTCAGTCCTGGCTGCGTGACCACAGGGGGGCCACTGGATTTGTTGGTTGCATCGGAGTGCTGCAGGTGAACGACAGGGAGGTGCAACTTGTGAAGGAGGCCGTGAAGGGGAGGAACATCAGAAACTGTCTCTCCTCCCCCTGCCAGCAGCACCCATGTCGCAATGGAGGCACCTGTGTCAGGTGAGGGGCTAACCTGTGCATTCACTCATCAGCCAGTAGGGGGCATCACGAGTCACTTGTGTGTTAGACGGACCTAGATTTCGTAGGCTTTCTGTGGATCAGGCAGAGTTCTCGTAGTCCTCAGTCTCCTTGAGGGAAGCCACCAGTGACAACCGGTCCGCAGTGTGCCGGCAGTGGCATTCTTTCCTATAATCCCACAGAAGTTCTGCAAATTAGCACAAAGGAGAACAAACGCCGGATTCGGCCGTCATACTACCATGGACAGGAGCAGTGACACAGAGATCTCGTTCATCTCAAATGGGCTGGTCTGACAGCACTTTTGATCGGCCGTGCAGTGACCTGTCCTCTGTGCAGTGACCTGTCCTCCGTGCAGTGACCTGGCCTTTGTGCAGTGACCCGCCCCATCGTCTTTGTGCTTTAGAGAATAGCTTCATTAACATTAACATGCTTATTCGAGATGAAGCACCACAGCTTGTTAGCTGCTTTGCTTGGCCCTTGGAACCTTCCAGTAGAAATTCCGGTTGTAGTTATTCTCATTTGGCAAAGTGTGTGTTTCAGCGTTTTCCTCCTTCCCAAAACTCTGAGCTATGACAGCGTCTGTGCCGACAGGAACGCTTTTTATAGTCCGTCATAACAAAAAATGTGCCGTCTGATAGCACATCTGTGAGCTTGAGGCTTCCTAGTTAGTGGTAAGTCAAGACTGTGTCCAGGTGTCTGCAGTGGAATTTCACAAAAGGACAGAAAGTATTTAAAAACACTTTGCTTTTATCAAATCTGTACATAAATCATGGCTCTGAGCCGCCCACTGTGTAATGACTCATATGAGAGGAGCAAACAACTTTGTGGCAGGTAATTGGAAGTCTAGCTAGATCTGTGGCTCTTTGGTTTTGATGTCATGTTGTAAACAGCAGATAGGTACCAAGGTACTTTAAAAAGCTTGTGCTTTAGCTTCTAATGCACTTTCAGCTCCCGGAAGCGGATTTGGCGGCCTGCATTCGGTGGCCTGCGATCGGCGGCCCGATCTTCCTGTTCTGCCTGAAAATGACAGAGAGCTAGTCTTGCAGACCTTTGCTGGATGCACACGGATGTGTGTTCATCATGTTGTCCTGCATCCTTCTGATCTTTTGGATGTGCTGCTGGCTGTGCACTTTTTTATGGCATATTTCATGCTATTTCCTTAAGCTTACGGCAATTTCCAAGCCGTGGAATTGCTGATTGTGAGAATATGTAATTAACATTATGCAAAGGTACTGGCGAAAGCTGTCAGAGCTGAATCTGTCATGAACCTGGACAGAGAGGCTGAATCTGTCATGAACCTGGACAGAGAGGCTGAATCTGTCATGAACCTGGACAGAGAGGGTGCCCAAAGTTTTTCTGGAGAAAGGCTTTGTTAAGGTGCTGCTTCCCTCACAGCAGCTTGTAGTGGTTTGATTGGGTTTATTTTGTTGTCTTCCTCAAAAAAGAACCTAACAAGCAGGGGTTACTTAAAGTTAATGGGTAGTCCAGTAGGGCAGGGTGACCCTGTAAATCACCAGAAAGGCAGGTAATTGGAGAAAGCCGGCGGTGGCGAGAGATTTCCCACCACGACTGAGTCTGAGTGCAGCTTTAGCCGTGACGGCCGGGGGGCTTTCAGAGCAGGAGGGAGTGGATGGGGGCCAGTGAACGTGCGGAACGGCGTGAGGCCGCGTGCCAGCATGCTGGCGGGTACACCGTGGGGCATAGCCCGCATTGCCCCAGAGCTCATTCCCCAAATCTTTCTCCATTGAGCTGGTGCCCAGCAACCGCATCCCCTGACAACGGTCACTAACATGTGATTTCAGCATCACTCTGCACCAGTACCAGAGCGGGTCTCTTGCCACTGAATCGTTTTCGAAGACCGGCTCCAAGCCCAGGCCTTTCTGCTGTCATTCTGCTGTTCTGATGTGATGAACATTGTGATGTAACAACCAGTATGATGTCATAATTATGATGCCATTGTCATCACGATGCCTACCCCCAGAAGAGCTGGGCTACTAAACACTAATACAAATTGCCCTTTAACAGCTACAACCAACAGCAAACGAGTTCCTCTGAGCCAAAGTACACAAACACACAGACACACACAGACACACAAACACACAGACACGCACACTGTATCTTCCGCAAAGCTCTGGAAATGCAGGAAAAAATTTTTTTTAAATTGATCTTTTCATTTTGCAAAGTAGATGAATAACAGGAAATCAAAGGACATGCGCACACTGGAGTGTTTGTAACACTGGAGAGTGTATTTTACTTCATTTGTGCTTGGAATGCGGCGTTAAGCTCAGCAAGCAGTTTTGCAGCATTATTACTTTCAAGAGAAATATATTTAACAAGCACAAAATATGTTGCTAGCCACCTCAGAAAAGTAATAGTCAAAGAAACAACCGAGGTGTTTTAGGGGAGCAGCGGATGAAGGACGATCAGCACCCAGGGCTACGACAGGGGAGGTGTCTCTCCGTACATAGGGCGGGGCCTCACCCTCCTCCATACATAGGGCGGGGCCTCACACTCCTCCGTACATAGGGCGGGGCCTCACACTCCTCCGTACATAGGGCGGGGCCTCACACTCCTCCGTACATAGGGCGGGGCCTCACCCTCCTCTGTATATAGGGCGGGGCCTCACACTCCTCCGTACATAGGGCGGGGCCTCACACTCCTCCGTACATAGGGCGGGGCCTCACCCTCCTCCGTATATCGGGCGGGACCTCACGGTCTTTGCAGTGACATTAATTTGGGGTCTGTATTTAAGAAATGCATTTCGGGCTTAATCATTTAAAATGTGTGTTTTGAGTGTGTCACATAACAGATATAAGAATGCATAATTGATAGGTTTACATCAAGCCCCCCTCTTCACCAGACTGCTTCTCAGATTCTGGGTCAATTTATAATTAAAGTTAAGGGCACCGTAGCACCATAGCGCCACCTTCAGAGCAAGGGTGCCGCTATCATCCGCAAACATACAGGATGTAGGTATAAGACATAACGCACTGACTCTGTTTCCACGGAGACGGCGCAGATGTCCAGCAGATGTGGTTTATGAACTAATCGGCTGTGAGTGTTTATTGTCTATTGTGGTGTTTATTTATTCCATAAAAATCGCCTGTCTTTGTGTGCCCTGCGCGTGTCATGCAGCGATTGCATGCTGAATTAAGTCCCAGATGATGTCCCACTGTGAGATACAATGTTAAGAAGGCTTTTCACGATTTATAACCGTAAGACAAGCGCTTGGCAACGGCATCTCCATTATCGGGAACTCGCGAATGCTCTGATTCTGACACGTTTCCAGGGGCAAAATTACTCTCCGTTAATGCTGAAGAACAGCGTCGCCTTCATAGCAAGACAGTCACAAATCTGTCTTATGTACAGCAAATGCCAGGCGAATGGCAATTCCCCCATGATCTTGTTAGAGAACAGAATTGACACAATTTTACTAATTAGCTGTCAAATAGAAACCACAGATCCACAGACATCCACATATGTCAAATGATTGCTAAAATGTTGGTCCCTGTTTAAAAAAAATCACTCATTTCATTGCATATTTTCCTAAGTGAAAAGCATGTTTCTTTAATTCATTCGCATGGTTCACCATGCAAGAAGTTTGAAACTCGCCATTTCAATTGTTCCAAGTCCCTTGGCTTCATGCCCGTAATCACTCGGTCTGTAGGTTTACACACAGTCTGTAGAAAGGGGATACATTAATACAGTGATCCCCCGCCTATCGCGGACGATGCATTTCAGACCCATCAGCGATAGGTGAAATTCCGCGATATAGAAAGACCATATAAATATTTTATTTTTATAATTTAAGCCTTAAATTTAAACACATGTAAACTTATTAAAACAACACATATATGTGGATGATATGAGCAACATAATAATAACAATAATAATAAAAAAATTATATGTAATGTATGTATGTGTGTATATACAGTATATCCTTCGGCGTACCGTCGATTCATTCAAGCCATAATGGCGTGCGACGTCCGCGTAACGCTTTCCTTCCTGAAGCATATCCAGGAGTTTTACCTTCTTCTGAATGGCGCTGGCGCTTAGGCTCACCACTCCCAGAAGGCTTAGAAGATGCAGGACGCTTGGGAGCCATCGTAGGGCTTAAAACAAAACGAAAACAATCGGACCACAAGCAATGTACGCGATACGCAGAGAAATGTGACGCGTCGGGTGAAAATCCGCGATATAGCGGGGGCGCGATAGCAGAACCGCGATATAGCGGGGGATCCCTGTACTGCTAGAACGCAGCACTAAAAACTTCAGGGTTTCCATTATGTTCTGTATATAATTAACTTTTAATGATGTATAATTGTGTCAGTGTAGGCTGTATGAAACAGCAGAGGACCGAGATTTTTGTATGGAAAGGGAACCATCTGTGTTCCTGCACTGTGATGCCGCTTTGGAGTTGAAATCAGAGGGTCTTTGCAGTAAGATGCTTTTTTTGCCTTGTTGGCAAAACATCTGCCGTCCATCGACGGGGTGAAGCGGCGCTGGGAACAGGCATCTTCTCCATCCGGAGCCTCAGTGGTGGTCCGCAGAGACTGAGCAGACCCTCGGGAAATTTGAGTGTGAAGGGTGATCCTTCACGCTAACGGATGTGTTTCGTGCTGTAATGTTACTGCCGTCAGCATGGTTACCATGGGTGGTCAGGGGGACAGGGTCGGAATGCCTGCGTCACATCAGGAGGGTACAGACTCTTCCGGAACATCCGGAAACATGTAGTCCCATTATAGTGTAAAGCGGTAGAGGCATGTGACTCCTTCATCATGAGGAACCAGCCATGAAGGTAACTGTCAGTAACAGACCTTTCATCTTTTCACCCCTTTATCCTCGCCTCACCCCTTCATGTTCACATCACCCTTTCATTTTCACATCACCTTTTCATCCTCACCTCACCCATTCATTTTCACATCACCTTTTCATCCTCACATCACCCTTTCTTCCTCACCTCATCCCTCCATTTTCACCTCATCCCTCAGCCGCTGTCATCTCCAACTCGACACCCCAGAATGCCCTCCCCTTTCCACCTTTCCGTTTTGTCTACATTACTTCTGTCAGTTTGATCCCCCTGTCCTGAATATCTGTAACAGAATGAGAATATTTCATTGGCTGGATGTGGCTCTGGAGAAGCGGCCCACGTGCTGGATGGGTCCGGAACATTATTCTTTCCTGGACGTGAAATGTCCCCAGCGCCTGGCGTTCCTGATACTGCGCCCCCCGTAGCACAAGGATCCCAGGCCCGCGCCGGACCCCCCCTGCCCCCACCCCCAACCACTGATAAGCCTGAGGAATGTGAATCAGCAAAGCAGGGGGGGGGGGGTGGGGGGGTCACGTTTTTCTCCCCACAGGGGCTTTTTATGAAATTCCTTCAAAACCCTGACTGCTCACGTGTCGGAGCTGTGCTGAGAGAATCATGGCATCCCTGGGCGCCTGTGCTAACGGCCTGAAGTATCACCTCCTTTCTGCGAGGGTCAATTACATAAATGGAAAGTATGGCATGCGGCGTTTGCGCGGCTCCCTTAGGCGCGGCCCCAGCTGTGCGGGACAAAGCCGCTGCCTTCCATTATTCTCCTTCCGCAGCACTATCCCGCGTTGGCTGCTTCATCTTCAGCGTGAGCAGAAACTCTGCTATTGATTTAATTCTGTTGACATGGTGTTTCTGTTCACTGCCCCCCCCCAATTCTCCTCTGGCCCTCTCTCTCTCCCTGTCCCCCTCTCTCCTTTTCTCCTTCCACACACCCAGCGACGTCGCCGGCTGGTCCTGTCGGTGCCCCCCCCTCTTTGCCGGCAGGCTGTGCCAGCTCAGTGCCTGCATGCGTAACCCATGCCTCCATGGGGGTGCCTGCGTGCCTCGGCCCCCCAGCGACACTGTGTGCCTCTGTCCCTACGGGAGAGCCGGCCTCCTCTGCCAGGACGGTAGGAAGTGATGTCATTAGCCAACATAACACAGCCGCCTTGCTGCTCGGCATGCTGGGAAACGAGCGCCCAGGAGCATCTTGGGGCCGGTCAGTCGACTGGCCTGCGGCAAGTGAGGATTTTTGGTGCCATTACAGAGTTCCAGGGCACTGGATGCACTTTGGATCCAGTGCATCTGTGATTTTCTGCCTCTTAATACAGTCAGCCAGCATTCCAAGGGGCCCCGAGGTATTTGCATGAGTGTTTCAATGTAGGGGCCTGCAATAAAAAGGGGCCTCAACTAACGTAAACCACCCCCCACCACCATCACATAAAATAGTAGGGGGGGGGGGGGCGGTGTCTAATGTTTTCAGGTAAGTAATGTGCTCCCCAGGCAGGCTGCTGTGTGGTTAGCATCATTAGCACGGTTAGCGTCATTAGTATGGTTAGCATCATTAGTACGGTTAGCGTCATTAGCACGGTTAGCGTCATTAGTATGGTTAGTGTCATTAGTATGGTTAGCATCATTAGTATGGTTAGCGTCATTAGTATAGTTAGGACATTGTACTTGAGGCCAGAGCTGCGGAATTCTTCTGCAGGACCTTTCAGAGGGTTGCCGGTGGATACCTGGTATTTAACCAGGGGCAGATTAATACACAGGCTATCCTAGGCTATAGCCTAAGGCTGCGGCAAACTTCAGGGTTCTGCCTCAGGCTAAACGGAGCAGCTAGTTAAACTGTCAGTGCCTGAGTATCCATGCTGATGTCAGCCTAGGGCCCCCGGATAAGTTAATCCTCCCCCAATTTTAACAATTGGGCAGGCAGTATTAATAAAGCTATTGGCTTTGTCAAAGCAAACACCGCCAGACAAACTGAAATTTCACTTGAGTTCATGGAAGTCTCAAATATCTGAGCAATTAACAAGATCAGTCATACAGGTCTCTTTTAGAAGCATATGAAATTGAATATCATTTAGGGTGAAATTCCTTTAATAAATTCTAAATGTACATCCTGCACATAGCTTTAAGTAATTATCTAATCTTATGGAAGGTGCTGCCATCTTGGTGTCGTCCAGAAGGGGACATGGCCCCCGCCCTGAGGTCATGACCCCCGTCCTTGGGTTATGGCCCAAATCCTGAGGACAAAGCCCCTACTATGCCCCCCCCCCATGGGAACACATTCACCCCCATGTGGACACAGCCCCCGCCATGGGGACACGTTCACCCCCGTGTGGACACAGCCCCCCCCATGGGGACACATTCACCCCCATGTGGACACAGCCCCCGCCATGGGGACACATTCACCCCCGTGTACACAGGACCCTTATTCTGTTGCGTTCCTTTACATTCCTGATATATTTCCTGGTTCTCTGAGTGGGTGAGCAAATGGTGACTAAGCTGGTTTATAAATGTGAAACACTTAATAATAATGATCATCGTCATTATAAATCTGATAGGAACTGACTGTGATGCTTAGGTTTATGTATTTTAAATCTACCCATCTGTATGAGTGAACCCAGAAGACTGTATGCTTGCAGCGTGTCACCGGGGATGTGACCTAACGTGCGGGGTGTCCTTCCATGGCCCAGGGCCAACCACCCCCATTCTCAAATCTACCAGCGTCACACTGGCTGTGGCTGACATTCAAATGTGATGCCAGATAACAGGAGATAACATCAGAGTCCGTATCGATTGGCACTGAAGCCCCGTTTCCCCTGGTGCCTCCCCCGCCCCCCCGCCAGCTCGTCCCTCAAAGAGCCTCTTCCTAACAGAGCCTCAAAGGGCAGGCTGCCTGCATTCACTTCCTGACCCTGAGGATTTTCATTTTGTGGGCCGAATGTTTAGAGGTTTATTGGTAACGTGAATGACAATTAAATGGGTTAGCCTCATTTATATTTAAAGCCCCGGAGCTTGGGGGGTGGAGTCCCTTTTCTGAGGGAATCTGGCTCCCACCTCCTCTGATTGGTGTTGTGATTGTAGAGCTAAGTTAAAGCATCGCAGAGCAGTGTTGGGGAGACACAGTATACAGAATAATATCCAAAAAGCCTCAGGAGCGGCATGCAGTCACTTTTGCTGGAATTGTTTCACAGTCGCAGGTCATGCGGGCTGTTGGGGGCAGCAGCGTGTCGCATTCATGTCTGAAGGCCTGAAACAGCAGCTGTTAGCGCCGGGGCTCTGCCAAGGACGCCCTACTACCCGGAGGTCAGCTGTCTGAATGCAGAAGCCGCTGTCATTCACCCCCCCCAGTACCCTGAATGTGCACTGAAATCTCACCGTGACAACCTCCCACACTGTGGGGGTCCGTTTCACTTTAATGCACGTCCCCACAACACAAACCATTTGCATGCGTGATGCTCACAGAACTGGCTTGGGCCCAGTCACCCTCGCACCTCCCCGGGTGTGGCCGGAACAGATCGCAAATGCTCGCCCCCACAAATGTGCCTGGGGAGGGACGCGTCACCTCCTCCCCTCTCGCCGAGTGACGAGACCTGGCTGTGTTTGGGAACAGCTGTCAGTCTGTGCAAGTCACCGATCACAGACTCACTGGAAGGGGCTTGTCTGCATCTGTGGGAACCTGACTGGCTGAAATGGTGCCCGTTTGCTCACGCCAGGCTCATGCGGCGAAAGCAGAATGCTTCAAGGTACAACGGCGAGACCCTGACAAGATGGCTGCTCTTTGTAGTCTTCGTTTTTTTTCTGATTTTTCAGGTTGACTGTCAGATGCTCCATTCCAGTGCAGGGAAGGCTGGGAGATCGTCTTTAGATCCAGTACAGGCTGGGAAAGTGTGAATTGTTGCCGTCTCCGCTCTGAGCCCAGCTCCATACCCACACATGCTGACCACCTGAAGGCAAACGCACGGACGCCTCGGCGCCATAGTGCCGCGTGTCAGATGGAACATGAGATGACTTCTGGTTCCCTTGTTTCTTAAGCAGATGGGGCTGAAATGGTAAGATGGTTCTGGAATGATCTCCAGCTGACGTTTGTACTCTCTGTGCCAAAGCACGGCCATCGTCTCAGGACCCAAAATGGCTCGACTATTAATCCTGCTTTTTTAAATATTCAAAGGAGGAAAAGGTCGGGGGTCTGCGCATGTCGGTATGCCTGCGTCTGCATTTATTATTTTTTCTTATGCCTTTTTTTCCAAGCTGTTGCTCCACAATTAGAAACCCATTCCATAATAATGTGTAATTATTTTAATAAGTCCTGAACACTATGATTATTTTTGCATCTTTCTGAGTGCCAACGCATCATCAGATACTCAGAGGTCATTCACATTTAATTAGCAGCCTGTTTTTTCTAAAGCAATATTTTTTTTAAAGAAAGCAGGGACGGACAATCCTAGGGGTAACTGGGGCTAAGTGCCACACTCAAGGGCCCAATGGTGAAATCACTCTGCTGACTTTAGGATTTGAACCAGCAACCTTCTCATCACGAGAACTGCATCCTAACCCACTGAACCACAGAGCACTCCCCGTGCATTTCATGGGACACTCGACATGTTCTCCAAAGGACTGATGGGGGCCCTGTCCTTTTGTGGTGTCCGATGGGGGGGCGTATCCTCTCATAGGGGCCAGTGGAGCCCTTAATAAAACTCCGCCTCCCTCTTGTAATCCCCTCAGATGTGCAGTTGACTGCCACAAACGTAACACATTTCCCGTTCTGTCACCATCTGTTGCTTTGTCGTTTAACGGGTGTATCGCCATCTCACATCACGAAAGAGATGAAAGTGCCAGCGAAGGAGTAGGAATAAAATGACCCAAAAAGCCACCCCAAAACACATCCATGCCGTATGGAAGTAAACGTTTATTCAGTCACATACTCACGGCATTTCTACGAGAGGCTTTCAGGAGCTGCCTGACTACAGACACCGAAAGCCTCAAGCTGCCCGTCTCTCAGTGTCACTGCCGATAATGACACACGACGGGATGAAACCTCCACAAACGGCTTTGTCTTGAAGCGGGGGAGACGAGGCCGCCGATTGGAAGATGCATATCCCCTGCAAATGAAAGGGGAGCGATTTACAGCTCGCAGCCTCGGGACAGAAAGCGCGACGCGGCAGGACGCGGCGGGACGTGGTGGGCAGCCTGCGAGGATGTCGGAGTGTTCATGAAGGTCTCTGATGTCTGCTGGAGGGACAAGGGAGGCCTACGTACGATGTACTGAAGGGGTTAGTGTAGCGAATAACAGGACCAGAGACATGATATCGTCTGTTTAAAAGGTGCTCTGATTTTTAAGCCTTGGGCGGACATTGATAAGGCCTCCCCTGCCCCCCCGACTGCTCCCTCATGGTAAACATTATGTATGAATCTGGGGGGGGGGGTTCTCTCTGAATAGAAACCTGGTTAAGCAGCTAATTATTCTGAAATGAAATTGGGAAGAAAATAAGGCAACAGCATTTGCTCAGAAAGGCATCCTATTCCTTCCCCTTCACCAAAGCAAGAAACAGCGGAAGTCAGCGTCCTCGTGATTATGGTGGATCAACAGCGCCATCGTGTGGCACACCACTGCTCATACAGTGACATATTGCAAGGCATGGAAAATGAAATTTAAGTGAAATCCAGGTGGAAAAAAGAATAGCTATGTCAAGAAGAAAAATTGGATTAAATAGCAGCGTGAGTCCGAGGTAGAACTCCGCAACCCCGAGGTGAACAGCGGCATCTATTCTGATTCCAGGTCACACCTCAGACACGGCGCTGGCAACGGATCCAGCTGCTGCAGCAGGACAACAAAATGCAGATTAGACAGTGAATAATGCGGCCGGGGGGGCGGCAGCGAGTTGTTATGGTTACATTTGCACCCGGACAGTAGTTATTATATGTGCCAATCAGAGAATATGCTGTAAAAGAAAAAGCAGTTAGTAATTAAACGCTGTGTGAAGACTTATGTTTCCGTCAGTACAGGGATATGCAGAGATTCATTATTCCGATTATTCCGATTATTCCGAAACAGAAAGCAGTGTCCTCAGGAATGTCCGGCAGCACCGCAGTCGGCATCACAATCCGGGGGGGTGGGGGTTAATATTAGTGAGTATTAAGAAGATGGTTCCTTTAATTCTCCATTTGTCGTGTGTCTGTACTCCCTGTGCATGTACACCCTGTAGAATGTTCTGGTGAATCCATATGGCTGTGCCATATCTCCTGAATCTGAGCAACAGCCTGGTGACCCCCCCCCCCCGGCGTCCCTCTTCTCTCGCAGCCGTCAACATCAGCCGCCCCAGCTTTGGAGGCACTGACCGCTACGGGTACTCCTCGTTTGTGGCGTACGCCTCCCTCCCAGACTCCAGCTCCTCCTACGAGTTCTCGCTGAAGCTCACGTTCGCCGACACTGCGTCCTCCTTCAGAGATGGCCTCATCCTGTTTGCCGGGCAGAAGGGACTCGGTGAGTTCCGCCCGTGACACTTCCGGCAGGATGGAGACTCCGGCCCAGTGCGGTATCAGATGGCAAGATAATAGCTTCGGTCTCTAGGGGGCAACGGCTCCGTGGGGGGGGGTCCAGGAGCGGTTACACACACTCTGCGGCTTACGGTGCTGTGGCACATGAGTCACCATCTCCGTCACTGCGCTTTCCCGTCCTACCCTTAATAAAGATTCTTCCCTGCGGTCTCCCCTGCCGGCGCGTCTCGTAAAGTCAGCATCCCGGCAGAGCCAGGATACTTATGTCCTTTCCACGCCAGGCCATTTCCCGTCCTCTGTGTTATTTTAAGCACCGTCCACGGACACAAACAGATGACGGAATCTATTATCTGCCCGCGTCGATTAAACGGCAGGGTCACCAGTTACCAGCTGGCCAGGTGGCGTGGCACACTGCTAAACTGCCTGGCTGCAATAGCAGCTCGCTTCTCGGAAGAATCGCAGGTGGGTAACGATGCAAAGGGGATGAATGCGGACTCCTGTGGTCTCCTCGCAGGACCATGGGTTAAGGTGATTTATCGAGGCCCTCCAAAGGAAGATGTCCCTATGAGTAATGATGCAATTGCCAGTGAACCCCCGGTGGAGGGTGGACTCAATCGAATCAGAAAGCAGCAGCCACATAATTTGTAATTCTGTGTCTTACTGGCCGTGTTTAATTTTACACGATGGCCTGGATCCACCACTGCACATAATATTTTACAGGTGAGCAAGAGAATAACGGCGGAAGACTGATAGATTCAGGGGAGGCTGCCTTTCGCGGATTCCCTGAGGATGGGATTATTCAGCAGCAGGATGTAGGATGGTGCAGGCAGCTTGGCTTAGGTGGAATGTCCTCCTCAGGCGGTGGGTTGCTTCTCCATATCTCTGCAGGTGTGAATGGAGATGACTTCCTGGCGTTAGGCGTATGGAGAGGCAGGATCATTCACAGGTTCAACCTGGGCTCTGGAGTCGGAACCATCGTCAGCGCCCCCCTCAGCCAGAAGCCCGACATCCATACGGTCCATTTCGGCCGGTCCCTCAGAACCGGCTGGCTAAAGGTCTGCCCTGTAACACTTTCTACACTGTCCTCAGTTCACTGCAGCTTGCAGTGAAGGTGTCAGAATGAAACATTGGCTATCAGTCAAGCTGCTTCCATCCAGTCCAGCTACTGGCTGATTTGAATATTTCCCATGGTTCTAATTCCTGTGAGATACAATGACTGTCACTCCAGCTGCCCAGGGTGCTGTAAGTCCCCGACTGGATAATACTGAATAAGGCCGCTCTGTTTTAAGGTTGATAACCAGAGGAACCGGACCGGGTCGTCTCCAGGACCTCTGGTTGGCCTGAACACTTTCAGTTGGCTCTACGTGGGTGGATTCAGCGAACATACACCTGAACTTTTGCCACCTGGCGTTCGTTTCCGCAGCGGCTTCCAGGGTGAGGGAGCTTCTCTTCATCGATGCTATCCACATTCACCATGTCAACACTAACCCTGAAACCCTAACCATAACCCTAACCCCAACCATGATTGAGGTGAGGGTTAGGATGGCATTAAGTTTATGGCTATGATCAGGATTAGGCCTGAATTTATACATACAGGTAGGCCTGGAATTAGGGTCATGGCTAAGATTAAGGCTGGGGTTTGATATGGGGTTACAATTAGGATTAGAGGTCAGATTTGTTCCAGTTTCCATAATCCTTGCCCCAACTCTAACCCCAAACCAAACCACAGGCCAAATACTAATCCCAGACTTTAACATTAATCCCAAACCAAATCCAAATCCTAACATCCTAACCCTAATCCCAGAAAAATAATAGCTCCAACCCTAATTCTAGGCCTAACCCTAAAGTCTCGCATGCTCATAGTCAGCATTTTCACCGTTTGAACGCTGATAGTCCCATGCTGGCAGATTTGTATTGCTTAGCTCACACCCCCATGGAGTTTAACCAGAAAAATGCAGTGCCTCTCTAATGGGTAAGGCAGCAGAGGCCGTCCCAGGACTCTGGGTTCAAGGTCAGGCGTCCTGTTTTGGTTGAATCACCATTTGGCAGTTAAGCAGTAATTGGTTCCTATTTTGGGGGGGGCTAGAGTCACTGGTTTTCGTCCCGTGTGCAGTTTTTTGGTGTAAATGACTTTGACAGGACTGTTGAACAAATCATTATTACTGTCAGCGTCTTCATCTATTTGCCTGCAGGATGCATCGTCGCGCGCCTACCTCCCCCCCCCCCCGGAACGCCTTATGGGGCCTTGATTTTACAGGAGTCGTCTCACGCCTCTCTACGCTGCCTCAGCGACGATAATGGCTATGAATATTATTACGCAGAGTAGCGGTAATACTTCTGTTACGATTATGATAAGTGCAATGAGGTATTACTGCACTGTAATTGGAGTTGAACGAGTCTGTGTAGGAGCGATTCTACTTCCTCGGCCCAAGACGCGTGTTTGGGAAAAATGAGGAGGATGACAGGCTCACGCTGACCTGCCGCGTGCGGGTCGGCTCTGGGTCGGCCGGCGGGAGGCCGAGGAGGGAGGGGCGCGCTCTGCTGGAGACGTGGTCATGGGTTGCCATCCCCTGATCTGATTGCTGTGACAGTCCACTATTGACACACCCACCACTGGGGCATCCGGGGGGGGGAGGGATTCATAAAGGACACCACATCCAACTTACCTGAGAACTGCTGCGGTTTGCGGACTCGGTGGGTGAGGCAGTTCAGGCCATGCTGGAGAAACAAGCCTGTGTGTGTGTGTGTGTGTGTGTGTCGACGTCATGGGGGGGGGGGGGGTGTCACAGGTTGTCATGGTAATCAGCAGTCCACAGGACAGACCATACAAGTGAACATGTACCATTAAAACATCACACTGCTCATAAATATAAGGCATCATTTAAATGAAACACAAACAGGCTGGATTGCGGGTGGCGATGCAGTTTATATCTGTACTTGTGCTTGTAATGTATCGTTACCTTGGTGATGTTTAATCCGCATCAGCTACACCAATGTTTTTAGCAAATGCACAGTGGAGACAAACAAAAGCTTCAATGTTGATTCAGCGCCTTGATTTTAAGGAGATCAGTTATAAATGGGTCACGCACTGGACCAGAACCAGTGTCTCTTTCACGAGTCTCAAGCCATCTTCATGCAGCCCCCCCTCCCCAGCATAAATATCAGCACTGTCATCCTCGGAAAGGTCTCTGCCTCACAGTGTCGAGCGTTTAGCGACACTCAGAAAGCAGGTGGTGCCTCATGAACCTTCACGGGCGCGTGACGGGCAAGCAGTGTGTTCAGGCGGCTGACGGACCGGATCGTGTCCACAATCTGATCCGGTGGAAGCGACTCGCGTTAGCGGCAGCACCATCCCAACAGAGATCACGAGCGAGGCGTGGGCTTCCCATGGTACTGGTGCCCCACCTTCCTAAGACGGAACAAGGAGAAACAGGAGATTATAGCAGACAGAAATCTCTCCATTTCACAGGAAGTCAGTGCTGTCTGGTGCACAGAGCTCGGTGGTCTTTGCCTGATAATGAGACAGAACCGGTTTTCCACACATGAATCATTCATCTTTGCACTGGTGCCTTTGTCTTCTACATCGGGGATTATATTAACCAGCCCTCAGTTAACCAGGGATTATATTAACCAGTAGCCATCCTACCTCACAGGTTGCATCTTCGACTTGCTGTTGCGGACGCGGAGAGGGGCCAGGTTGCAGCCCCTGGAGGGCCAGCCCATCCTGGGCCGCAGTGTGGGGCAGTGTGGGGTCAACCCATGTGCTCTGGTCCGGTGTCAGAACGGTGGAACGTGTTTGAACTCCACCTCATCTGTGTAGTATGTACCGCCACCATACTTTATGTGCAGTTTAGCGCAGTTCATGGAACAGCCCAGCAGGTGGTGTAGTGGTTAATGAAGTCTGGAAAGCACTACCACAATGACCAGATGACGTGTCCATCTGAAAAACAAGGTGCGAGTGAATCGTCCTTTTACTGTTCCCTGAGTCACAGTATGGTCTGTTTTAATATCTGGTGCTGCAACATTCCAGCATTACAGCCCGTGAACTAAATCTAGAAGGTAAAACACAACATATATTTGTGCTTTTTGCATTTTAAATATAGCATTATAAAAATTAATACTTTGTTCACTGGGTAATGAAATGTTATTTTTTGTCGTCATTTTAAAGTTTAAAAATTACAGATTATCATTTTAATATACACATAACCTAATGTCACCACAGTGAATAAATCTTAATTTGTGTTAACCATTTAGTAACACTAACCACTAGTGGGCAGTAGACAATTTCAGTGCTGATTCTGTCGTCTTCTATAGCTGCCAATGCCCATCTGGATGGAAGGGGGCGCTCTGCTCTGAGACCATGTCCGCCTGCGACACTGAGCACGTACCCCCTCCCTCCTGTGCCCACGGCTCCACCTGCATTCCTCTCCTTGATGGCTACACTTGCCAGTGCCCGCTGGGTACCACGGGGCAGCGCTGTCAGCAAGGTTTGAGAGCGACCGGAGCCTTCCTGTCACCCACATGCTTCTCATGCTGCGCTGCTTTCTGAGGCCTGGTACTTCAGCAAAGAAAAGTGCTGAATGTCAGTGTCCTGCTGGACTATGGGAGCCTCCATGGCCGACTGTCCTCTGTGCAAACCTATGGGTGCAAGACAGGGAACAGCCCAGGACGGGGCACCAGCCCACCACAGGGCACGCTCACCCACCAGTCACTCACACAAGGAATAGCTTGCCAACACCTATTAGCATCAGCATATTTTTGGAAAGGGGGGGACTGGAGGACCCAGAGGAAACCCCACAGGGAGAACATGCAACACACAGTCATGGTGGAGACTCAAACCCTGGTCCCAGAGATGTGAGGCAACAGTGCTAAGCCCCACACCACCGTGCCACCCCAGGAAGGGACGCGTCACTGACAATATCGTGGGAATACTGTGTGTGTTTAAGGGGGGGCAGGGGCTTGGGGCTGCCCCTTGGTGCTTTAGGGATAGAATAAATATCTCCATTACCTGTGTTTGATCTATACTCTCAGAACAGGGCACTGACCTGACAGGGGAAATTAACACGAATTAATATAAAACTGTAAGGTCTCATGTTTTATATATATTCATTTAATATAATAAAAACAAACCAAACATTGGTGTTTTGTGCCCATAGCCCTGGCCATAAGTGACCCATTCTTCAATGGAACCCAGTCATCCTGGATGTCATTCCCACTCCTTGGTGTCAAGCACAGGACTGAGGTGGAGCTGCAGTTCCAGACTTTGTCACCAGAGGGCGTCATGTTCTACACAGCTCAGCATCCGAGTCAGGGAGCAGGTGGGAGCAGTGCAATGTGGATGTGTGGTGGTTTGCACGGCGGCAGCTGAGCCATGGCTCTGAAGCAATGTACGGGGTGACATTTCTGGCACTCGTACAGTAACACGGAGGGCAGTTAGCCTCACTAGCACACACTTCTCACCTTTGCTTTCTGTACCTAGGAGATTTCTTCAGCCTCTCGCTCACCTCCGGCTTCATGCAGCTTCGCTATAACCTCGGCGACAGAACCGTGCAGCTGCAGTCAGCCAATGGGGTGGATGCGGGCGGCGGGAGCTGGCACACAGTGCGGGCAGGACGGCAAGGCACCCGAGGCTACCTGATACTGGACGGCGTGGAGGAGAGGTTGGATCCGCCCCCGGGTATGGCTATCCTCGACGTGGCCTCGGAAATGTTCGTGGGTGGCGTACCCACCTCTGACAACCTGCCCGCCGACGCAGTGGAAGGCGAGCCGATTGGATTTACTGGCTGTATCCGTGAACTTGTGGTGAACGGGCACCAGCTGGACCTCTCAGAGACGGGAGCGTTAGACGGCGCCAATGTCGGCGACTGCGATGGGACGGCCTGCGGCTTCCACGTGTGCAGAAACGGAGGCCACTGTACCGCTGTGAGCTCTGAGGCAGCCGTCTGCACCTGCCCCCCTCTCTGGACCGGCCCCACATGTAGCCTGTCTTCTGCTTGAACAATCTCTGCCGGCATGGTTCCACCTGCGTGCCAGACCTGACCTCGGCCTCATACCACTGCTCCTGCCTGCTGGGATGGGAAGGCATGCGCTGTGAGAGAGACACGTCCCTGAGATCCGCTGGCTTCCTGGGAAATTCATTCCTGAAGTACAGGGACCCCAAATACCCAAGCAGGACCCTTACATACACAAAGATTGCCTTTAACTTCACCAGCAGTTCAAGCGACGGCCTGGTGCTGTGGATGGGCAAAGTGGAATATGAAGATGAAGACTACCTTGCAATCGGCCTTCACGACGGACACCTGAAAATGGCCGTGACCCTAGGGGAGAGTCTGTCCATCCCCCTCGTTCACAGAGGTGCCAGGCTGTGCTGTGAGAAATGGCATCATCTGGAAGTGGTTCAGAACAGGACAGCAGTCGAAGCATTCATCGATGGCAAGCTGGTGGTCTTTGAGGACATCGACCCTTCAGAGCAGTATGTGGCGTTGGACTATGGTGGCATCTTTTACTTCGGGGGATTCGAACTGTACAGGAACACGTCAGAAGTAACACACGGCCTGTTCTCTCAGGGATTTGTGGGAAAGCTTAAAGATGTCTTTTTGTATGATGACTTAAGGGCACTAGAGTTTCTCCAAAACTCAGAAGGTGTTAATGTTTATGAAGGAGACTGAAGAACTCAACCTATACAGGTGTTCTGGGGCCGGGAACAGCGATAAATCAAAGCATTAAAAAAAAAAAAAAAAAAAAAAAAAACACTCCGTGAATGCTTTTACACAGCGACCTTGGTCCTTACCTCCAATAAGAGCAGGCATTACCTGTTACTCACACCTCTGATGATTAACCTTATTTACAGCACAAACAAGATGCATGTGCACACACACAAAAGCACCATTAGGAACAAATAGAAAAACATTTATTTTAGTGGTGCACTTACAAAGGAGTAGGCATATTCAGCACAGCTGCATTCTGGAGTCCTTATTTCTAATTACATACGTTTCGCCACCCCCCCCCCCCCCCAGCCCGGGTCAGGTTCAGGTTCATGCACTGAAGAAGCTCACTACATATGGCGCAGAATCGTTAAAACCAGTCAGTCAAAACCTCCAGCTCTAAAGTCAGTAGCTCATTATGTGAAGCGCTTAAAAATATGAACTACAAAATGTACAGCAGTTTTCAAAAAAACAAAACAGCAACTCATACTATTAGTTTTTAAAAAAGCTTTCACTGCGTAATGAACATGTAATTATTCTTACTGAAATGACTGCCCTAAACGGTCGGGAAGTGTGACAATAGAAAGGAATTTCCCGGGAAGATGGCACGGACAGTGGGGGGAGGGGGGTACACCTCATGACCGTCCATCCTTGGCCCCATCTCTTGAACTCCGCCTCCCTTTGTCGTAAGTCTCTCTCCTGTGCTTGTCACGGTCCCGTTCGCGGTGCTTGTCCCACTCGCCATGCTGCCGGTGGTGTCGCTCGCTCCTGGAGTGCTCGCTGCCGCTCCGGCTTCGGTGGCGAGCCCGGCTGTCCCTGTGCTTGTCATCATGTCCACGGTGACGCTCTCGGCTCCGGCTCCGGCTCCTACTCCTTTCCCAGTGTCCGCCTTTCTCTGACTGGTGCTCCCAGGACTTCCCATGCTCTCGGTCGTGATGCCTGCCCTTCTTCTCGTGGTGAGTCTCGCCGTGGTGCCTTAGCTGGCCGTGTTGGTCACTGCTCTCCCGCTTGTAGCCGTCATCGGCTTGCCGTGGCTGCCGATCCCAAGGGTCACCCTGGTATTGCTCTGGTGCCTTGTCCTCCTTGGGTGTAGGCAGTGACTTTGAGGACTCTGTGGTCCTCGATGCATCAAAAGATAGTGGGGGCCCAGATGGGACATGTTGGGAGAGCTCGAAACCCACAGCTGGTGTGCTGGGCCACGTTGCGCTGGGATACTGATGTGAGGGATTCGACTGCGGAAACGGCGGAGGTGCCCCAGTGTAGGTGAACCCTGACTGTGCCTGTTGGTCTGGGGCTTGGAAGAGAGGTGTAGGGGCTTGCTGGTACTGAACCTCTGCATCTGGGCCTGGAGGGAACGTAGCTACTGGTAGCCCTTGACCAACATGACTAAAAACGGGTGTTGGCGGGTTGGGGGGAAGAACCAGACGGGGAGTACAGTCTTCAGCTTTACCAAATGACAAGATGGTGCCAATGGTTTGGGTGTCTTTTGCTGGCTGGTGAGGCACTGGCTGCGTACCTACATCTGGCCCACTTGCCAGCGGATGCTCTTGTGAAACGAGCTGGCTGTCTGCTTTGGCGGCCTCCTGCTTGGTATCTCCTTCTGCTGACGATGGTTTGGTACCCAGCGTTTCAGAGCTGGCCTTCAGGATTCCACTCGGAGACTGCATCGGGCCAGCAGCTGAACCCGAAGGGCTGGCTTTCGACGTCATGCTGGGTGTCTCGGGGAGGGCAGAGTTTGATGTGGTTGTGGAAATTGAAGTCAGCCCTTCGTGTTTGGCTTCTTGACCCATATAATCGACCTTACTTGCTTTATCGAGCCCTTGGCCTACCCGATTCGGCAGGTTTGGAACGACACCTTCTGAATCAGCTGGAGGTTCAGCCTTCAAAGGTCTCTCAGCAGTGGCAGTGTTAGGGTCACTGATTAGTCCCTTAGCCAAAGAGTCTTCCAGACTGGCTGTTTTCTGTTGTGGCTCAGGGTTACTGCCCTTTGGCTCTTTCTTCTTTATAATGAAGCGGTCAAGCCGAAGGCCATTGGAAGCTGGGCTTCTGCTGAAGCCGTTACCCCTCCCTGTACCATCCCCCGGCAGAGCCTGCCTGTTCGGCGCCTCCTCCGTGCTGCCCGATAGACCCTGAGGAGCGTCGACTGCTCCCAGAGGCCTGGACGCAGTGTCGGCACAGGGCTGCCCCTCCCGACCGACCAGCACCCCCGGGAGGAAGCGAAGCGGTTTGGCAGTTTCATGGAGGTTCCCCTCTGTGGTTAATGGGGCCTCTTCCGGCTGCAGTTTCCCAGTTTTGGTGTCACTCACAGCTGACTGTTGTGGGTTTGTGGCCTCGGTAGACCGTGCTGCCTTCAAGGAGTTCAGGTAGTCCTCACCAGTGAGGGCACTTCCACTCTCACTACTGGAATCCAGCTTGGTCCGGCTCTCAGGCAGAAACCTTGCAGACGAGGCTTCCGGAATGTCCACAGACAAGAGGACTCCAAAGTCCCTTTTGACCCTCTGTCTAATTATTAATCCCAGGAGAATGTTTGGACGGTTCACTTCCAACCCTGCAAGACAACACAAAAGTAATGTCACCCTCCTTTTCATTTCAGGGGTGTCTCTTTGAAATAATGTACAGACATGGGAAAAGTTACCAGGTTCCCGCGACCAAAAATGTCACACAAAAATATCAGCATTGTGATTCTATGTACTAGGACTAGAACAGCTTCACCCAGAATGTCACATTTGAACCTGTGACATGTTCATGGTAGGACTCTCTCACCTGGCCCATCAAATGGGACCAGCTGGTGTGGGATCTTCTCTGAGGCTCCCAGAGGGATAAGGTACATGTCTTTGACGTGCTTCATGTTGTTAGCCACCACGCCGTAACGTCTACGGCTGCTGAAGTAGGCATAGAGCAGTGTATAGGAGATCTCATCTTCCTCTGTGACAGGACTGAATCGTATCAAACAGACCTCCTGCAGAGGAGAACCAGAATGGGTGCCACATTAGTCACAGCTCCGGAGGAGGAAAGTGGTGACTCGCAGTCAAAACAACACATCCAAAAATGAGTCATGCTCTCACTTTGGTTCCAGAAGCCCGGATTTTTTCCACATAGTCCCACACTGTCTGTGGCGAGATTCTTCCACCAACCTGGATGCTATCAGGCAGATCCTGACCAAAGAAACCAAACCGGTGTCACTTGTTCAACTAGGTTAAGTCAGTATAATGCAGGTTTAAAATGCACTGTAACCAACTATGTGGAGGTGAGATCTGGTACTTACCTCTGTTAGGTGGTCCAGGACACCCGAAACAGGATGGGCCTTGGTGACAAACTTGGCCACGGAGGGCATGTTGACAAACCCCTTCCACAGCAACTCCAAGCGGTCCAAAAAGGTGGTTTCATCTTCCCTGCCACTTAACCTGGAATATCCCACATCAGTCAGGACCACAGCTACAGGAAAGCAAGACCACACCATATATCACAGGTGCACAGAAAGGTCCGACGAGCACCAACATCAAGCTGTAGCACTCGTGTGCGCATTCGCATTCATGATAAATCACAAATCAGACCTTTCATCGATGGAAGACAAGACCCTGGGGCTGACCAAGCTGTCTTCCATGGCACCGAAGGGCAGATCCTCAGACGGAGATGAGGCACTGGTCTGGCCCTCCCCCTCCGTGCTCGTCTGCCTCCGCACCACTGTAGTGGCCACCTTCACCACCTTGGTGGTGGCGTCTTCCACGGGAGGAGCCATCCGACCTGCAGGAGCACAAGAGCTAGGCTGTAACCTCACGCTTACATTCATCTGGTGATGGTGAAGCTCTAAATGGGGAATCTGCACTGACATCAACATGCTTGGCTACACCTGTAGCAGAGAGCCTTGGCAGGTACCTGTGCAGATCTTGCAATTCAAGTCAAAGAGGTGAGCCTTGTGTTGGGCGGTTGTATCTTTAGTATTCTCTGGTTCAGGTTCTGGGGGGGCCATTTCGGGTTCTTCTGGTGGTTTCGACACCGGCTCAGGCTGAAGACAGCAAAGACCATTCTTCAGCATCGCACACGGTGCAGCAGAAGCGGAGGGCCCCCATCCATCTTACCTCAATATTGGCAGGTTCCGGTTCTTTCTCTGGCTCTTGGTTCTCAATCTCAATTTCACCCTTGTGTGTAATCTTTATGATGGGCCGCCTGTCCACCTCCCTCTGCTCTTTTTCTATCATTTCAATCGTCTATTACAAAATATCAAAATAAAATAAACACGGGAAACCATGCCATCCTGATAAGTTACATAACTGTATACCGAGTGACTCTACATAATCCATAATAAATAAAACAAACACACTCCTAAAATGTTTTCCTATTGAAGTGTCCCAAAAACAGACAACACTAGATAGCAGCACATACAAATAAAATCAGAGGTAATGAAACCACACGTGGTTTAATTACCAACAAAGTATTTACTCTGGGATAAAAAAGTAAGCACAGTATGGCAGAATATTTGCATTACAGTGTGCTGTGATCACAGGCAGATTCATGCACAAGCTATCCTAGGCAATAGCCCAGGGCCCCAGTAAACATGCCTCAGGAAAAATGCAATGTTTAGTTAAACCAGAAACACGTGAATGTCCATGCTGATGTCATAATTTAATCTGCCACTGGCTGTGTTTGCAGTAAAATTGCTTGCCACCAAAAGTAAATTCTCTGAAATGTGACTGGATGTTAGCTGAAAGCGTCGGCATGTGACTGGATGTTAGCTGAAAGCGTCGGCATGTGACTTACGTGCCGGTTCTCCCGCTGTCTCCAGGCAGCCAGCTCTTTGGAGGCCAGCTCTTCCGGACTCATTCGGATTAAATGGTGAGGGGAGATCTCACCTTTGAGAACCCGTTTAAATAATACCTGGGGGGGGGCATGAAATGCAAGTCAGAGATCAATGCCTCTTGGGGTCACTCATATAAATGGAGTCTGCCTTCATATTATTGGATGTCACTACCAAACAGCAAAGCAAGTTACATGGGACAATGTTTGGCACCAATACTTAAGAGGATCACAGACCCCGAAGTAGCCAAACACATCCTCTGTTTTCTGTAGCTTAAACTGCCCTTTACAATCCTCTACCAAACATCTCAGAAAGCTCTAGAGATGACCTGTCATAGTGGTCTTCCTAGGCTTTTGGGTTCCCAACAGAACCCAAAGTTCAGGCATGATTCCTGAACATGCCAGATATCAGCACACTTACATTGTTCTTAGCATCTTTGAGGTTGAACATCAAGCTCCGGTACTTGCTCTTGTATTTGCTGTCCGTGTCCCGGAAGAAGGCAAAAAGTTCCTTCTCCGTTTTGCTGGCCACGTTCGCTGCCCTCTCTGTGGACACCTTCAGGTCAGACTCATTCAGTCTGAAAGGGAACGTGCTAAGGTCACTTCCTGTGACATCACAGGCGCTGCATGATATGCATGGGAGGAAAGGGCATAGATGCCGTTACCGCTTCAGGAGGATGTCTTTGAGGGAGTCCCGCACATTCCTCCTGATCTGCTCAACTGAAGGCTTCTTGGAGGCCGCGGGAGATGTCTTTGCCTTCTTTGCCTCCTGCCGATCATGCGCTCCTGCGGATGTGCAATAAAAGGCCCGTGACCCTCCACCTGATAGCAGCTGGAGAAGACACAAAAAGGAGGGAAGCCTCCATACCGATCTTGTGCGTCGCGTCCCCTGAAGCGTGAGGGCGCCTGGGCACATGTGCTTTTTGGTCCGAAGCAGATGCTGCTCTGCTCTCTCCATCTCTGTCTTCTTGAGACTTCCTTTCCAGAGAGTCCTGGGGCAGAGCAGAAGATTCAGTAGATCTCTTACATACAAACACATTCATACATTTCATCACACTCCAACGCTTAAGACGTTGTGAGAGGGCAAACGCCTTTGGGGGGTGTTATAACAGCCGAACCGCATGGGTGACGTGCATCTCAACAACCTGACATCCCACCTTAAGGCCAATTCATACTTCACTTTCAGTTGCGGTCGACTGTGCATGTGCAAGATACTGACTATGCACATCCAGTGGGTGGCATGTATGCAACATTTGTCCTTTCAATTTGTTCAGGTTAAAACAATAAACATCAATAGCTCTGGAAACCCCTAATCTACCTTTGTTGCAGATTAATGATCTATTACTACAGCGCTCCCAAGAGGTCAGTGAGGAAATATTTTTAATACTATTGCAAGGGATCGTAAAATTATTATTAATATTTACTAATAACTGTACTGTGTCCATTTAAAGTACAAAACAAAGCATTAATCAACTAAAGTATAAAACTAAACGATACAGACCTGGCTAGTTAAGTCTACTTTAAGCATTAAACTATGGGGGACCGATCCATACCATGTAACTTTACTATGTGTGTTTTTCTACACATTTATTGATAATGATGCTGTGTCAATTCACCACCACTAACTAAACAAGACAAATGGGCTATTGAACGCAAAGTGCACACACAAGCATTATTTAGATTTATCCTTCCCAAGAGGTCAAGTGTAGTGGGACCACAAAGCTATTGCGAGGGAAAACAAAACTATTTCAAAAAATATTTTCGCAGCCTGACCTCTTAGGGGCTCCGTATATCCCACCTATGGCTAATTGATTTCTACCAAAAAGTCATATTTTTTCCACAAGAATCAAAACAGCACTTTCAATGAGAAACGTGATGGTTAAGTAGTTTTACAAAAGAAAGTTATGTTTTTATTGTTTTCAAAACCGGTGAAGACTTAAAACTTGCAGTTGTAAACTGCATCTCATTCTGCTTTTGTGTAAGCTTCATTCAGAGCTAGGAGATGACATCTGCCCTCTGCTGGTCTGGAGGTATATCATTGCAGTATGCATGCACCGACCGCAACCATCTGCAACCACTGTATGAACACAAGCTGGCGCGCGGACGACCGTCCCCAGACCGGAAGTGTAAAGTATGAACCAGGCTTAGGCCTGTACCTGGGTGGGGCTTAGAAGGAGCACCTCGGATACCCAACACCAAATTATTAGTGACTCAAAAAAGGAGGAAGGAACTTACAGACCCCTCATTACTGGGCAGGTTACAGGAATATTACATGTCAGTCACCATAATTCGCTAGAGGACAAAATGTTTCTGCATTATCATCCAGGTCTCTAGCATTCGATTCATAGTGCTTAAACTGGAGTGAGAGTGCATAAGCGGCTCACATCCTGCTGCTATTTACCATGGCAATAGTCCTGTGCTTTACTTTAATCAGTGAATCAAATTTGACAGTTTCACAAACAATTGCGGGGACTGGGGAATGCAGACAGCACAGCGCTACACTGTACAGCGCCACCTTAAGGGCAAGGAGGATCAATGACCCATGTGGACTATGTCTAAAAAAACATTAACAAAACAGAGGCATTAAGCTTCTCTCCAGATAACTACATAAAGAACTGAAATGTAGCCGATGTGAGACATGAAAAATACCATCACTTTCATTATCATCTTGATCCATGATCCATACACTGAAGCAAAACGGACCTGTTAACCTGGCAGCTAAAGTCTGAAAGACGGCATGGCCGACGCGTTCACTTGCCTTCCTGACGGCCGTGGCTGATGGCTGGTGGCTGATCTTCTCATATCTGACAGCAGGCTTGTTCTCTTGGGCTTGCTCCGCTTTGACCTGCCTTTCAACAGAGGCTGCCCCGTGGTCCTCAGACTCAACCTTTTTATCCTCCTCAGCGCAGCACTTAAGGCAGACATACTCTTGGTCCTCCTTCTCCATCTGCTGGGCCTTTGCCAAGTCCAGCCCCACACACTCACCATGGAACCAGTCATCACAGCGACCACAGCCCACCATGAACCTAAACATGTGACATCGAAATGTCGAGGCCAAGAAGTATAAGGGACTTCCATTAAATCATACAAATGAGTAATGATTCATCAAATACTTAATTCTCAACTAAGGGCTCCTTGTACTTGATGCAAACCTAAGAGAAGGGATTGCAAACCAGATGCAGATAAGCTGAAGCCAAGAACATTCAAACTAAAATCAGACAATTTTCAAACTGAATCCAAAAAAATCTGGAAGAGGACACCATGCAGAGAGTCTATGACAGATTAAGGTGTTGCTGCAAACAGGTTTTGCTGGGTGACTTTCTGAGGAAGGCCAAACACACACACACACATGCGTACCGGTTAGAGTGAGGCTTTCTGCAGAAACCACAATGCTTGCTCGGATCCCAGATGGTCTCTCCTTCTGCAAGTTCTTCCTCAGCAGCCTCCTTTTTGAGCAGGGGAGCATTATCTGGGATAAAGAGCGGGGGCTCGTCCACAGACAAGCTCCGGCCACTTTTGCTCCTCGGTCTTTGTGAGGCCTTTTCCGGCTGCTTCTTTGCTCTGAACTTCTCCTGATCGTCGTCCTCCGACGGCTCCCTCAGGAGGTGGGCAGGTTTGGCTACGGCCACCTGGGGGTGGGCTGGCTTGGGCCCAAATGGAAGATGGGGGGATTTGGAATTCCCAGCCTGCGTACCAGGATGCCGTTTCTGACTTCCATCTGCACTGACCGTTCCAGGCAGAAGCCTTTTAACCACAGGGTGAAATGGACTGGACAGCTTGGGGCCAACATCTGGTTTGGCCAACCTCTTACCTGGCACCCTCGGCATTTTGGAAGGCGGGTAGGTTTGGAGATGCTCTGTGCGCCTTTTAGCGCCCATGACAACAGACTTGCCTTTGATGGCTTGCATGTCCTGGATGTCACCCCTGGCCATATTTTTTGGTTGAGGGGTCTTGGGCTCTCCTCCAGCTCTCTTTGAGGTGCTGGGCTCCAGGGTCTTCTTCTTGGGAGATGCTGGTGACTGCTTCAATTTTAGCTGCTTGTGGGCAGGAGGCTTTTGGTCCTGACCGTCTTTGCCAGCTGCTGTATCAAGCAGCACCGATTTGTTAGCATCTGAACATGTCCGGGATTCACTTTCACCTGAGTTTATACCCTTAGGCTCCTTGACGCTCCCTGAATCTGGCTGTTGTAAATCTGACGGGTTATTCGCTTCAGTCTCTGCCGTGCACACATCCATGGCTTGATGGCTAGTGCTTAACAGCACATTAGAGCCTTCCTGCACTTCATTGGGATTCACGCAAGGTCCCAGCTCAGCAGGGGCTTCAGCTGTGCCACACTTCCCTACGTCCTGAACGGAGGTCAAATGTTCAACCACTTTGCCATCTGCCATTGTTACAGCCCCATCTTGTGCAGCTGACAAGTTCACACCCTCAACACTCCCCGAAGCATCGGAGACGACCTGAGAAGGTATTGCACCCGGGGCTGAGGTGGATGGGGATTTGGAAGGTCCTGGAAGAAGCTCAATTTTGTACCCTCCTACAGTCACAGTCAGACGCCTTAACACCACGACAGGGTTCATCGACGGTCTGACTTTGCTGCAAACTGCGCTTTTCCCAGCTCCTTCCTCCTTATCCTGGGAGCTGTCCGCTGGGTCTTCCTGTGCTTCCGCTGCTTCCTGTTGCTGCTGTTTGACTCCTCCTCTCCTGTCACATCTTCTGGTGGCTCTGCTGCTGGCCGGTTTGCTGACAGCCTCTGTACTACTGGCTGGATTTAAGCCAGATTTCACAGGCTCTGAGAGAAACAGCAAAATATCACTGGGGTGATGCAAAGCAAAGTGTTACCTTCTGCAGAACCATAGGGCTCACTTGTCGGGAAAAAAAAAAAAAACACAACAAATGTTCAGTTTTGTGGCAGTAGCTAAAAATAGCAAAAACACAGAAGACNCCCCCCCCCCCATTAGAAACCATTAAAGCAGAACTGCTGGCTGCTTCACGGCCACAATCTCTCACTGTGATTATTCCTAATTCTAGCCAGAGAGAGATCCAGACAGAAAGAAGGTTAAAGATGCATTTCTCTGTCCTAAGAGCTACAAGCAGCTGAATACCAGCCAAAGCGGACATTTCCCAAAGCTCACCCTGGTCCACTTCATGGGAAGGCTTCCTCGGCAGAGTGGGAGGGCTCTTCCTCGTCAGAGGGGCAGGGCTCTTCCTCGGCCGGCCCCTTTGGCCCTTGGGTCGAGTCGCAGGGGACCTGGAAACACCACACGTACCTTTTGACTTACTCATCCCGGCCAGACCTGCAGTTATAGACAAAAAAGGAACAATGTCCAAACCTTACGTGGTATTATCCAATAAACAATGATTTCTTCTATCCAATCAAATCACATAAATATGGTGTCAGGACAACTAGACTTACATCAGTTCACCAGTCCATCACTACGGAAACCAGCTTAACACCACATTAAACCCCTAAAAACAATACTTCACAACTCTAGCAGTATGAGATAAAGGTTGCTGGGACTTTGCATTACCATAACAGAACAAGCCTCTTCCTCATAGCCGTTGCTGCACCAAGAATCTCAGTAAAGCATCTACCGCTATCTGACTCAGAGTCTCAGAAGTTAAACCTTATAGTCTTCAACAGGCACCTGCTGAATCAGCAATCTCATAGCCGGCGTCCTCATTATCCAAAAGGTGAAACTGAGCACTTGCAGATCCAAGCATGGGATCCTTGTCACTGAGCATATTCTTCAACGAGTCTTGCAGCACGTGGTGACCAGTTCCAAACTCATCACTCGCTTCGCTTTCCAAGTTCTGTCCTATTAACAACGACTCTTCCAACTGGTCACTGGGGATTAAATGGTTAAAGGTTCCAACCCCATCCATGAATGCTGTGGCTGCTCCAAAAGCTCTGCGGGAACAGAAGGACGTGCATGAAGAATAAAATGGCCAGAAAAGGCCTAGAGAAGAGAAACTTCCCAGTCTACAAATCCACGTAATAAGGACATTCTGTGAGACAATCTGCCAATTAGGGGTGGGCGATCTGACGAGTTTTTATATCATGATCTATCTACTTTTCTTGCAAATCGTAGGGATCGTGACCATTTGTGTCCTACCATCTCCAAACTCAACATAAAACGGTGATGACCAATCATGTGTGTTACTACCCGATCCCTACCACACTTCCTGACCCGCCACGTCGATCGCTCGCATTGAATCGTTTTACAAATACGTCACACATGAAAGTGACCCTGTGACAGAGACACATGATATAACTTGGCCAATGAGCCGGCCATCTAGTAGGAAGTAATTGTTTGTGACCGAAGTCCGATCCATGGTGTAGCTACCCGAACCCCAGCACCTGCCCAGTTTGTACCTTGCACATCTGCACCACATTATAATTTCTGGCACTGTCCCAACCATTGCTGTACCGTCTGCAATTTTACGGAAAACCATACTGTCTACATTTACAGCACACTACAGGGGTCGCTTTATTTAGAGAGATATTTAGAGAGAACTGATGTTAAAGATTCTGCTGACAGAAAAAAAAAATTCTTTGCTTGTAATTTTAAGTGTTCACTCCAGTCATCTATTTCCAGGTTTTGGACCAACATTATTATTCCCTAAGTATCCCACATCTGAAATATTCATTTCTATGTCCATCAGGTGAAATCACTGCCATTCAGCCACATGGTATTTTGGTATACTTATAGGTTTGGTTCACTCTGAGATGAAGGAACTTATACAGTCACCACTGTGTGATTGGGGTACATAATGAATGAGACCCATAAACAGGCACTCTGACAAGCGCAGGCCATAAGCAGAACAGACAGAGAACACAAAGAATGCAAAATCAGAATATCTGGGTGATGGAGATCACTCACAAGCAGTCCGTGAAATGAATCTGACGAAGTGAAAAGAAATATTATTGGAATCAAGTTGGATCGTGAAAATGTCATGAAACAAACTGACACAAATCAGCTACCATCATAACATTTGCCATAAGTGTAATTGCACAGATGTGCAAGGTGCAAATCGGGCATGCAAAGTCAGATATTTCACAGTTATCTCTAAACTTAGCCCGTGGTCGGCACTTCCAGTGGTAATAGCACAAATCTATTCAAATCACTTTGAAAACTGAAGCATCCGACATGTTTGTTTAATATCTACAATAAAGTGTAACTCAGGATTTAATTTCAATTTTGAAAACTGTCATTTAAATATATTACACGTCAATATCGGGTTATAAATGGTGCTAACTGATTAGTCCTTAGGCTCGTTCAAGTCTGGATATTCTTGACTGTTCATTTCAAAACTGGGAAGCAAGACTGCAATTCAGATTGTGGATAGCAGCTGTGTGTCACAAAGATCATGATGTGTTTTTGTGAATATCGCCCACCCCTGCTGCCAGTCATAAACCCAGGCTCTCCACTACAACTGAATGTGACAATCAAAACTACACAAAGACAAGGCAGAATAAAAAGATTTTTCAGGGATGACAACAGGAAACCAAAGGCTACTGAACACTGGTCCAAAGGCCACTGGGTAAGACATCTGGCACAATATTGAAGCAAAGACTTAAGATGTTACATGGTGATGAATTCCTGAGAAAGGATGCATCAAACATACCGTGGGGACCACTCCTGTCTTGCCACTTCTTCATGTCACATCCTGGAGCACAAGCAATTCCTAAGACCTAAATAAAACAAAAGACAGACAATCTGATTACTAAATCTTACAGGTGAAGCTAGAGTAGTGTGAACCAACAGGCACAGAAAGACCACAGAAAAATGCAACAGCTATGGGTAAACATTCAAGGCTATGCAAAAACAAAAAAAAAAAGACCAAAGACCACTAAAAGGGGAAGCTTTTTCACAATAAAAAGACATGTTGCAAAATACTGACACTTTAAACGGAGACAACTGTGCGTGAATATACTGGAGAATAACATGAAAATTGGTAAACATGCGAGGTTAAAGCCATTTTTAAAAGACCACAGACAGAATTAAGTAATGACTAAATGTTTTGGATGCAGATCAAGCTGTGAGCTGCTCATCTCTGATTAATGGTACCAGAGACCCAACCAATGGTTCAACAGCAAGAATCTCTGGGGCCTCATAACTGGACCCAGTTTAAGCACCACACACAACCAGTCATTCCCTATTGTCTACTAAAATGGCCGGCTTTTGCTCAAACAAGGGCAAAGTTCAGAATCATTTCGATTTTTAAAGAAGGGGCTAAAACTGTTTATTTGTAATCCTTATCAGTGTGTGCATGAACTTAAACATCTTTAAATATTTAAAAACATGGCCGGTAATAGTTTAACAGCAAGTAAAATACGTAATTCTGCCACACTTATCCTACTTCACAACAGCTGAAACTCTGTCAAGGTCGCTTCTGCAAAACATCTTTTGCTTATGTCTCAGAGTAACTTCACTGATAACACTAAACTATGCATAACAATGCAGATTCTAATTGAATAATATTAGGCATCTACTACACTGAACCAGAGCACAAACTCGAAATTAAGTCAGTTCGAATGCTGTTACAGGACCAGACAGATTTTCCTCTTGTTTTTCAGACCTAAAGTATCAAACACACTCCTAGGCCTAGAAAGTTTACATTCAAGCCCTTAAGTGTTATAACGAAGATATGTGAGAAAGACACACAGGCATTAAGCACGGCCTGCTAAAAAGCGTGGGGTGAAACTTTATACCAACTGGAGAATTATGCGCGTGAGTGAAGTGGATGCAGCCCCACCTTGCGCGTCCACACGTGCTCGTTTACCACGCGTTGCTAAGAGACGATGTCACGGGTAACTATCCATGTTATCGGGCCTGATGCTTGACGAACCCCCAAACAAATTACAGATAAACCATCTAAATCTCCACTCAACTCCAGTACACTACTGCCTCAGTACCATACTGATTAAAACAGCACGCCACTCATATCCCGCCCCTTCCCTTTATCATAAAAACACGCTGGGCGTATTTATGAACCAGCTGGGTGATGGACTAACCGGCCGGTTAGCAGGGAGGGGTACGCTGCCATGAACGCCCAGCTATTTACCCGTATAACTCGCTCCAACACAAGGGCGGGTGTTTAAAGTCACACGCAAAAGTGCCCTGTTAATTCCCCATCGGGCAGCTGTGTCCCCGCACGCTCTGCCCACACTTCCCCTGGGTGGTGCTGCTGATACTGCTTATCTGTCCGGGCCTCTCAGGAACCAGAGGACGGCCAACATCAAGCACGGCATTAAAAACAGCCACCAGACGCCATCCCCGCTAATGGTTGGACCGAGAGCCGGCTAAACACTTCAGGGGGTCACGGCCTCACCTAGCCAGCAAGCTCAACGTCGAACCTGGGCAGGCCTCTCAGCTCGAATAGCTTAGCCTAGCCTGATCTTGCGTTAGCCTAGCCTAGCTTGGCCTCATCATACTTTAGCTTTGCCACTCGATTTGCCACCCGTGAACTTACCACACGATCACACGGCCACTAGTTGGACAAGCGAAAGAAGAAGTAACGGCAGCGATAACGACATAAAGCTCGCGCCTGCCAAGGAAGGAGCACACGGCGCATGGCCTCTAGACCAGGCGCCTCGGGGAGGCCCGGAGTTTGTTTGCAGTACCGGCCATGATCACGCCCCCCCCCTTCCGCTAGCTCTGCCAGGGAACGGCTTGGTTGTAAAAAAAAAAAAAAAAACGTTTTACCTTTTTGACCCGATGCCGCGCATTGCAGATCGTTAGGGCGAGCCGGTGTACGATGCAGTGTCCTTACGTGGGGGTCCCGCTCTATCGTACGCCGTCTTTCGGCCCAACTGTGGCCATTCCAGCGGCTGCACTCGGATTTGCGTCCCCCTCACTCCAAAACTCGGCCGGCCCAGCGGGCTCCATACTGGAACGCCCCCCTCCCGCCTGGGTTTTTAACATCAACCAATCGAGTAAGAGGAGATGGCAGTGTAAACCAATCATTAAAAGGCGTGATTGATTTGCTGCCCAATCGCCGTGAAATGCGATGTTCCTCCTTCCTCCGTAACGAACTGAGACCGTAGTTGAACATAGGTATGTGGAAGCGAAGTAAATGCTATGATGTTCTTAGTTAAACCACGCAGTATTAAAATACATTTATTTAAAACTTACTTAATTTTTCATACACATATAGCAGATGTCTATAATAGATTAAATATATTAAATAGTAGTCGATGTATTTGAATATGGAATAAGATTACTTCTGAAAGTGGGCAACTTAAAGTAAAAATATACGCATAAATATGCATAACGTTACCGATTCTTTCTGAGCACAGGTTCAGGCCCTTGAGAGATACCTCGGGCCAGTTTATAGGAGTGGTGTTGCATGTCGGTCCAGTTTTACGTGAAGCCCCTTGTTACCCGAACTTGTGTGACCGTATCCTCTCGGGCTGCTGAACTTCTTTTGTTTTGTTTGTGTACCCCTCTGAAAATTCAAGGCGGTGGTTTATTATGCCATGGGTGACTCGTAGTAATCAGAGATGTTGTTAGTGGTTAGCGAAAACATGAAAGTCTGGAAACGGCCACTGGTTTGTATGTTTATGAATGTCAGCAATTATTGTGCTGACAAACAGGTCACTACACAAATTAGCAATGGATAGGATCTCAGCTATTAGTCGCTCCAAAACGTTTTAAAAATTAGCATTTTGAAGGCTCCCTGACTGTAGGGCTGATCTGCGCGTTGTAGTCACATCCCAGTTGACTCTGGGAAATTGAGCTTTCAGGGGAAGCCATTACACATGAATTCATCGAACTGTTAAAGTCTATTTCTAATCCCAAGAGACTGGGCAGGCAGGACTGGCCTGAAAGATAAGGTCGAACTGGACCAGCTCAGCCATTCTTTATGCTTAGCGAGAAGTATTGTTATGGTGAGTACATTTTATATACCCCTTTCGTGAGATCCCAGGAATCCAAAATGACATTACTTGTGTTTATAGACATATTTTGTTTACACTTTAAGAGCAAGGCAAAATTAAGTAACAGGAATTCTGAGATTTGTATTTGTAATGGATGTTGCCATGAAAGAGACATCGCACAGAATAAATGGGTTTTTGTATTTATTTTGATGTACAAGCGCGCTCACAAACTGGTGAACACTGGCAATTAACTTCTCCCACAGTACTACACCACACATTCCCAATTACAGTATAAATAGCTGATCAAACATTAATACGTCACCATTTCAAATACATAAGTTATCAAGTATCCAAGTTATGCAGATGAAATAAAAAGGGATACAAAATATCACTGACACTGATGTACAGTTTGAAGCCAAGAGGCAATAAGGGCAAAATAATGATCACATTCTAGACAGAGCAGTAGTTAAAGATTTTATGTAACAAAAGAAATGACATTTCAGATGCTTATTACACAATGAGTTCTAGCTACAATAGAAAAGCATCTGCATATTAAAAAATTACTGAAGGGCATATTTTCAGCAAGACAAAGGCAACATATTTATCTTGACCCAAATAGAAATACACTACCCCCACCCAATGAAATTCACCTGGCCCAGCACTCAACCACAACGTGCTGCGTACCTTTCGGCAATTCTGTAAAGTCCGAGGCTTTTTAAATATGGATGATCTAACAAAATATGTGCTTCTACGGTTTCGTATAAAGTGGTAGATTTATGGAAGAGAACCATAAATGGATAGATTTTTGGGCAACACCATTTCTCGTGGGGGGGTGGGGGGGATAGCCCTCATAAAAACAAAGATTAGTTAAAGTTATAAGCAAATACCGTTATACACAGTGAAGTTACACCACCTTCAACAAATTTCCTCACAAGACCAACATAAAAAGAAACTACCAATCCTGTCTTCGCTCAATGGTTCTTACAACAACATATATATAAAAAATAATGTTTGGCACCTAAGTCACTACATTTTTTACACATGTAAAACCTTAAAAAAAAAGTCTCCTTTAAAAGGGTCCTACACAGATTAAAGATGGAAACTCAAAATAGAGTGACGACCTTCAAACACATTTCATTTTTTTTTCTTCAGTTAAACATCTTGTAAACTGTTCACTGTAATGCTCTTCCATAAAACTTTCATTCACGATCTAATTTATGGGAGGGGCAGTAATATTACTGCAAGAAACTTTGAATGGCTGCCTTCGGTCATCATCATCATCATCATCATCATCATCATCATCATATGCAGTCAGGAAAGCCACAGAATATGAGGTTATTTAACTAAAATCCAAAATCAAGGCAAAGCCACATGATCAGCATTCAGAGCCTAAATAGTAACCCTTAGGGAGACTGTCGCCCTACAGACCTCAGGCTTAGCAGAAATCAGATGCTGGACCAAAGGTTCTGCTTCTAATGGTGTCAGGGGCAGTACGTTTCAGGTTCTTGGTTCCCTAGGTCTTAAAATGGCAGTATTCAGAGTTATTGCACCAGACGAGCACACATTGGGTTACTGGCTGCAGAGCTGCTTGGAGCTTGCCGTAAACACGTAAACATGATCATACATGGGCTTAGGTTTAACAGGTATATTTTGATCCTAGTAGTCAAGGTAATCTGCAGTCTTTTACATTTAGCCAACTGTCCTCCAGGTCCATTACACTGTCATTAACTGCATTGGTACTGTGCTAAAGTTAAGAAAATAGAACACCTGGTATGGCTACACAAGTATTAAAATGCTGGAAAAACATCTGACTGGAATGGCAAAACAAATTTTTAAAAAATGCAAGAAAAAAAACCTGAAGGGAATGTTTACTTTGATGATGGTCACAGAACATGAAGCCAGTTCAACCCTAGAAATCGCACCCCTGCTGGGTCTGTCACAAGCTCCAGCTTTGCATGGATGATACCAGGGACCCATTTCATTTCACAACCAATCAAAAGCAAAGGCTAAACAGACAGGGAAGACACTGTATCATGACAACAACCAACAAGAAAACATAAGGCGAGTCACTGACATTGAGCCTCAAGCCACATGACCCAATAATCTGATGGAGACGGGAACGTGATGGGGAGGACCTAGGCACGCTCACAGGTCTGGGAACAGACAGCCAAAGTTACCAAAAATGGACAAATCCCACACAATCAGCTGTCATTTTTTCAGTATTTAAGACTAACTACGCCTTCAGTGTAGGATCATTTTAAGAGCTAATGAATACCAGACACCAGCTGAGGGTTAACATCAGGTGTCATTCAAGCAGCAGAAAGGGAACAGAGGAACAACGGTAACTGCACTGCATGTAGCCAGGTGTCTTCCTTCGGTGCGGGAGGGGTGAGCGCAGCATGCGTTGCTTCACTGGATGCAGCAGTTGTTACGATGCCCATTAGACTCCTTGAATCGAAGGCGCATCTTTGGACGATATTTCTCTAGGTATAGGAGCTGCTTGCTGTTAAAAGCTCCTCTACGCTTCCTAAAATATCGAAAAAACAACAGCAAGTTACTTCAGGGAACTGAATACAGTGGATAAGCAGAACTAAGGCAATAATCAGTCCGAAGGAATGAAATTTAAACCCCCAAACATCATTTAAACCTTAAATCCATCCATCCAGCTCCCAACTACATAACCTGGTCAGGGTCACCAGGCGCAGGGAAGAATGCCAGTCCATTACGAGCACACACACATACACACACACACACACAGCTGGGAAATTCAGGGGCACCAATGAGCATAACTACACATCTTTAAACTGCATGAGGAGAATGAAGAACATGCATACTCCACACAGAAACATTACAAAGAAGGCACTAAACCCCCAACCCAGGAGGTACAAGGAAACAATGCTACCCACTGGGTCACTACTAATGGCATGTATATCTTACAGAGATTCTAAATACTCACAGCCGGATAAACTGGACAGCATCCTCATACTTCATTCCACACTCGATCAAGGCGAGGGCAACCAGGACAGGGGCTCTTTGGAGAACATGCTTAAGGTTACAGAAGGAAAAACATTTCCTCCCATGACCAAGTTTGCTAATGCTGTTCTCATCCCATTATTATGTTTACAGCCACAGAAAAAGTCCTTCCCAAGTAGTAAACAGTAATGACTAACACTCATATGAAATGGAGCCACACCTTCCCAATCCAGCCACACAGTGAACAGCAATACAGCAGCCAGGTTCCTCACGAAACTTGGCCCTCAGAAGATTCAGCCAATCGTCAACAATCTGGCTAGAAGGAGGAGCTCCGTCATCAAATGGCCAATCCTGGAAGTGAAGTGCGGTGAGGTCACACAACAACAAGTTAACAGCAAATGGGCTCAACACTCAGAATAGATAAATTACAGAGAGGAAGGGTTAGCCTTGCAAGTCTTTCACTACCATTAGATCTCATGGAAAGGAAAACTACCCTAATCAGAAACCCATTCTCTTAGGCTAATGAAGCAACATATTTCTCGAAGGGAATGGAGTTCTCTCACTCTCTCACACACATACAATTCATTACAAAAAAAAACAACTTACCAAAACCTGAATAGCTTCCTTCTCTACCAGAGCAGCATCATAGGTGGCCTCGCACACTCTCACCACGGTGCTCACACCATACTTCTTCAGCTCCTGAAGATGATTGGAAAAAGCTCTGCACACTACTTCTGATTACCGACCATTTCACCATCAGCCACCTGGTACCCTGACAAACACAATCTGAAATTCCCTTTAGGACACAAGATGGCTGAAGATGATTGAACAACTATGGGATACCATGCTTTAAATTGCTTTACAATAGGATTACAGGAATACTTAGACTTCCAAGTAGTGCTGAGCACAGAGAGCATTTTGCAAATGCCTGGAACACCGCCATATGGTAATCAGGCTTACTTTCTGTCACCCAAATGGCAGACAGGTCAGTCAAATGGAGTGCTGCCTATTCAGATGCACCATGCGCTGCTGAAAACTCACCTCTATGAACTTGTTTAGGGTGGCGTTGGTCGGGTTATGAGTTATGAGGAACCTCATGCTTTTGTAAGTGATCTCCACAGGGGCAGGTCGGTTCATACGTGCCATGGTCACACAAAGTTGCGCAAGAACGAAAAAGTGACGAATACAAAAGGATATTTTTGTTTACCAATCCAACAAAAGGGTGGAGTAAATGCTAGGGATTTTTAAAAAATGTATATACTCCACGTCAGGAATAGTTTTTTTTTTGGAATCTAAAAAGTGAGGTACTTAAGATTGTGTGGGAGCAGGGTAAGGTATGAAATAAACCTGTCCTAAAACTAGAAATAAAAAAAAAAAAAAGAACAAGCAGGGTTTCTTGACTCCGGTGAGGGGGGGGCCAACAAGGGCAGGTCACACACAGATTACCCCATCCAGGTGTGTTCTCCTCAGGTGAGTTGTGCTCCCTCACTCTGCCGCAAGTTCAACACTCAAGTCCCAGCCTGGTCCTCAGGTCCTTACAGGTCGTTTCTTCGTGGCAGAACGAATCTCAATAGTTCACTTGTCTGCATAGATGTCGTGCTGGGCCTGGCAGTAATCCCCACTGCCCTTCAGAAACTCCATAAATGTGTGACCGAAAACACCACAGAACTGCTGCATGAGACAGAAATGGAAAGCACAAGTTATCAACCCTACACAGTACATACACTGACTGAAGAAAAATTCTAGCATTTTAATAGTCACTTATTAAAGAGTATTTTCAAATGATATTCTAGGCCAGTTCCACTTAGGGGTTAGTTATCTCAGAACTTTATGCATAGTGCACATTGCAAAGAGAGTGAGTTTGTGCGTGTAAAATCTCCAGGAAATTTCAAACCCTTTTACAAAACTCAAAATGACAGAATTTACAGGTGGCTTAAGAAAAACTGTTTCAGGGAAAACAAATACCAAGTTTTATTACGATAAATACGACAAACTCCAAGCCTTTAAATCATATAGCTGAATTTTTAAGCAAAATGTAATTCACTGTTGCAGAACTATCAAAATTGCTGAGCTGAGGGCCAAGACATACGACTTCCAAATACCACAGAATCTGACCAATACTGATACAAGGAGGAGGGCATGGAGAACACAACACCTACTAACAGCAGTGCAACCGCCCATCTCACTTTTACTTTATAATCTGTATCATAACATTAAGTGAAAAGCTCATTTCAAACATGTCCTCAATGCAGCAGGATTGCTCATTGGGAGACAGAAAATTGTGAACGCACTGAATAGTAGTAGCTGCCTGAAAATCATTAAAATGTAGTACAAAGCAAGAAGATGATAAAAGAAAACATTTCAATCATGTTGTGTGTTTTACTACCCACACAAAGTAGGAAACAAAGCACAAAAGGGAGTAAGCTGTAAATAGATGAATGTCTCTGCTAAACTCACTAACCCTCTGCGTCATAACCAAGCCTTTGTGCCGGTTGTGAATTCCCTAACCTATGACTCTAAAATGGGTGGTGGTGCTTGGTACAAGGAAAAAAGAATATTTGAAGTAGGGCTCTTCATCTCAGTTTGTTACTGTAATGAAACACTAATGAATACTTTGAAAGTGTGGCACCACCATTAGGCTGGGCCTCATCTACGGGGGGAGACCCTGCTTTTACAGGTACATGACTCAACATGTATGAATGCTGAACAAAGTATGCAAGCAGCCTCCCTCATGTTCCCATCTGGCACAACAGGCTGGACCAAAGATGTCTAGGGCAAGAGGGGAATTCCATTTCGGAAGTTTATTCTCAGGTGGTCGACTGCAGTAAGACACGCCAAGTGAAGGCTTCTTAATTTACGGCAAGTGATTAAAAAATAAGCACTCCTGTACAGCATTCCGGACACAAGGCTAACATGAGAGAGTGTTTTTCCGGATCATCCCAGCCAGGGATACAGGCTGAAAAGTCAGAGGCATGGCCACACTCTGAGCCACTGCCAAACTGCAAAAGGGCAACTGCTCAAACAGCCCATAAGTCCCACTGGAAAACTGTCATATGGCCATTTTACTGGCTAGACTACCACAGAAAACTATTTATAGACAAGTAACTGTAACCTGGCAACACCTGCACAGAGATCCAGAGGCACAGAAACTATGAGCAACATAAAAATTCCAACCATACACATATGAACATTTTATCCCCAAAAATGGATGCGTACATACAACACCCAAGGGAGCAGTAAAGCCCTGGGATCTCATGGCATATGAACATTCTGCTGTTCCACCGTAGCACAGGAGGAATTCTGACCAATACCAACTCTGTGGCCAGCACTCTTCATAGGCACATAGAAGATCTTGAGACCACTGCCATACAGTTCAGGACACGCAGTTACTCACATGACTCACATCTGCCTTTGAAACCACTGAAGAGCTCAGCAGGGTGCTATATGCCATCTCACCCGATTCTCCCCTTTTGTTTTCACTGCTACAGACCACAGACTCATGGACAACGCGTCGGAATGATGACATTAGGACCAAAGCAGTCAATAACACAAATGACAGTGCGCAGTGGAAGGAAAAGCCATGAATGGCTTTTAGACGCAAGAGCATGTCACCGCCACCAGGAAGCCATCTGTGGGGGACATTAGAAATGCATCACACCACCACCAACCCCCCCCCCAACCTCCCTCAAGCATCTTGCCCACGGAAAATAAAGAATATTCTTTTCTCCTCTAAGCTACTTACGGGATTAGTGAATAAAGCAACAGCAGCACTCCCAGCTTGTACTTACACACGGGGGGCCAAGGCTACGACATTGTAAGACCGCTTTCCGTCTAAGCCCATATTTTATATAACACACACTAAAATATATATTATCATACACTGTACGAGCTTATGGGGAACCAGACTTCATCATACATGATCATCATAATTGCTCCTACTGATTTATCGCCATATTAACGCTGTCACTGTAAATGTACGACGATGGCACGGTATAAACGTGTTATAAGCGTCTGATAGCCAGGAATGGCTGTGACTCATGGGGGAAAGGGGGGCCGGTCTGTGTCCCAAATGCGGGGCTCAAAAACGCCTGGATCCAGCGGGACTCGTGCTGAACGCGCCCGTCTACCCAGCTTTTAACTAAAAAAACATATTTCAACAATTTTTAAGTAAAAAGACGTTTACTCCGATTATTTTAATAAAAGGTTTTTACTCCCCCTTCGTATATGGGATGACAGGCAGGTAGGCTAACACTAGCAGCATGCTAACAGTGAGCGGGCATCGTTAGCCGGCTACCCTCAATTAACGACGTCCGGTTGGCCACACGTCCCCTAAAACTAATGATATACATATTAATACTTCTGATTTTTCTTCCTAAAATAGTGTTCTGTCCATGTAACCCCGGAAAAAAAGAGCCCGAAAGCCGAAACATTCTCCGCCCAGTAGCAGTTAGCTTAGCTTGCTAATGGTTCCGATAGCCGCCTTATCGCCCCGGCGCCAGGCCCCGGAGAGAGAGCGGGCCTCTGTGGTGCCTTCACCGCGAGCGCGCACACACACAAATATCACACTTATTTTTAAGCTAAAATTAAACAACACATTTCAAAAAATGTACAAAAAAATAGGAGGTTTTATTGCTGAAATACTAGGCAGCTGGACGGAGAGCCGTTCCCGAGTCACCCATGCAAAGACAGCCGAACCCTCGGCTGATGTTTCTTTTGAGATTAAAATAAATGTTATCTTAATAAAAATTAAGATATTCCACCGTTTATCGAGTACTTGATCAATGTTTTTAGCGGTAAAACGGCCGCTTCACAGTGTCGCGTGATGTTCGGCATCGGCGACGGGCTCCGGCAGGACAATACACATTGAAATTAAATTTAAAATAATATAATAAAAACGAGTGATATTAATAACAGCATCGGTATGTCTCAAAGAGCTGCCGGTCACCAGCCATACAATCTAAATGCTGAACACCGAACAAACCGAAAACGGATAAGTGGAGAGAAACGTTTTAAATATATAATAAAGGCACTTACAGGGATATGCTTACTCATTGAAGATTGTAGCTTAATCATAAAGCCGGTCCCCAAGAAGAGAATTTCAATCCGAACTGGGAAGGTACTGGTTCTGTACCATACAGACACCGTCTCCCGGCCGCCGACTTCCAGTCTGCTGGGGCTCCAGCGCTAGCCAACGGCTGAAATCCGCCCGCGAGCCGCGCGTCACGCTCCGCCCGACGCGAGCCAGCCACCGGCCGCGGATCAGCCTTCGTGCCGGAATCTGCGATCGAGAGCTCCAAGATATGATCCCAGATCTGCTGTCAAAACGAACGGAGCTGGGGGCAGGTCCCGGTGCGGCTATCGTGTTGCGCATGCGTCAGGCTCCAAACCCACCGGCCGTAGATCTGCTCAGGCAGCAGGAAGATTACTGTCGGGGAGTAGTAGCCGATCCTGGATCAGATTTGAACAGTAGAAAGGACGCTATGGTGTGCGCGTTCACAAATCAGCCCGTACTTGCCGTTGAAAAAGTGCTACTGTGGGTAGTTGGATCACCTGCAGCGAAACTGCTGTCGTGGAGATTACTTTTCTTTGTTTTTGATATACAGTCATTAATAGTTTGCGTAAGCATCATCATAAGTGCGAACGTTAAGCCTCTCCGAAACTTAAACACTATTTTACAGTTAGGTGACAAACTGATTAGTTTGATGTGGTTTAAATGACACTAGCTTTAATGCGTAATTATGGTGCTATTGTAATGACACCTGGCAGGAACAGCTATAACAAGTGGTGACATCGAAATATGTGGGCATCCGAGACCTGAAATATCGCAGACAGTACGGTTCAGCTTCAGTTAATCAGATGAGTGACAGTGCTGCCAAATGACTGACTCTGAAGGCTAAATGAAGATGGAAACACAGGATACATTGCAGGGTTCACCCAGGACAGGATGCTAGTCCATCAGAGGACACACAGAAACAAACACCCGAGCACAGTTTGTGGGTGTAGCTGCAGGATGAAGCCAGAGAAGCTGCACACGGCACTGGAAGACCACACCACACAAACTGTACACAACCAGAGCAAGGATGGGATTCTGGTTCCCAGAGGCAGCAGTGATACCAATAAAAAATCCAAATAATTATGTATAACATGTCAATTTCAACAAATTACAATATTCAGTAGTAATTAAAATTTAATTTTGATGAAAAATATTTGATACATTTAAAGTTTTAAGTTACAAAGATATATAATTTTTGTATATTTATTGCAGGTTTTTGCTCTATTTTAGTGATTTTGGGCTATGTGAACTCCAGTGAATGCTATCACTGTTTACTGACATTTAATAAGGTAACAAAGACTATGTGCCACTTATGTTTCTATGGAAAGTGCCATATTGACACGAGTTGAATGACACTTCACATAACACAACCGAACCACAAAAACAACTGGAATTGACTGTGATGTGGTTCCTCCAGAGAAACATGCATTTACTACTTTTTTACTACTATTTATGACTTATAACTCTAAGAGTCTAAGAAACAAAAATGTAACACAATGCAATTACACACCACTTTAAACGTATTTAAAATATCTTAGAGCCCTGGTTAGTGTATGACAAATAGTTGTATGCCATACATTGAAGTGTCCATCAACCCCTCCCATCCACAGAAATCCACTCTCACTCAGCTGTTTACCAACACTCACGACCTGATGTGTCACCGTGTGGGGGTCAGGAAGCTGCACAGGCTGGGGAGGGGGGCAGCATGAGGAGCATAACCACTCCTCATCGGCAAATAAACAAACAGGCATATGGTAGGAGGCGCCAGAGGCACAGGGGGAGGAGGAGGAGGAGATGCGTGGTGCCCGGAAGCATGTAGGCTTAGCTCTCTCCTCCTGAAAGGGTGCTTCAGACCAACTGCCCCAGACCAGCTATGCTAACATCCCTGCAACCGTCATCGCCAGCTATTATGTGACTGTTTCCACAAGCCAAAAAGTCTGAGAGAGACCAAAAGCAGCTCACTAATGTCTGGTAAACATCCTGCCCCTCGGTGTTTTCCTCGCCTGGGATGGCATCTAGATGTACGTCCAGCAAAACGCCCACGAGGAGGTTCTGCTTTCTAAAAACCGGAGCGGAATATACGCTGAAGTCATGTGGGTCAAAAGAGAAGAATGTTCCTAATATTTGGGTCAGAGTTCATGCTGCACCACTGCAGGAACTAAAGGGTAGAGAAAAAAAATAGAACCCTATCTCTCCGCAGAAATTAACAGATCTGTGACACATTCTCTTTCGATCCACATGTTCTGGGAAGAGTGACAAGGCGTTCTCTAAGATAGTTCCAGGGCAAATTCATGAATGCTTCTCATTCTTTTCTTCAAAGACACTTTCACTATTGAGCACATTCAAGAAGGAATGCTTTGATATCCTACATCAGGGCTGAGGGTAATTCACCTCCAAAGTGAAACCATTTCTCTCCAACTGAACATCAGCGAACTGAACATGCAGAAACTGATATCAGGTCATCGACCAAAACATGGTAAAGAAAATCTGTATTCCACGTCAGCCCTTACCAGGAATACGCCGCTGACTGTGCCAAAGTTCAGCCGTCACTGGGGCAGGAATGAGTAGGTGTAAAGAGATAGGAAACGTTCCCGACAAATTTACTGTATTTCATCAAACTGCAATGGCCCCTGGCCTGCTCTCTGTATCCCAGTACAAGGCAGACAGCCCCAGTAAGTGTCTGTATCTGAGCTGCCATCTTTCGGTGCTCCTCTCTTCGCTGCTGTGATCTCTGTGTGTAATATAATAGCACCATTACTGTCAACATCCAGTTTTCCCTTAACTGAGAGTTTTTTTTCCCCACAAAATATGAAAGGCTCTTTTCTTATGAAGGAAAACAAAACCTACTTCTTATGTTTCTGGTGATTTATCCCCTGCACACGTCTTGCCTCACACTCAAGCATCTGTTTTCATTAGTTTTAATCGCTTTGTATGATATGAGTGGGCTCTGGGGCTCGGTTAATACCTCCTCCATTCCAGGAGATTAATGAAACTAGTGTTTACACAGCTAACTGGCTGGCAGGCTGTAAGAGGTGCCACATCGATCACTTAATGTCAGGGTATTGGTGTCGCTTTACTATTCATTCTGCGTGAGATAAATGCCACAACAGACCCGGGACAGAGAGGTACCGTTAATTAGGGCAGGACAGCTAACACCAAGCTCACTTGCTTGATGAAATGAACAAGGAGTGCTGACCATCTGCAATTGCACCTTTATAAATCCTAGTTTGAATGTAACGCTACATGATGACTGCAAGCTTTTAAGTCTTCAAACTGTCACCTCTTCACAAGCTGCCCTCAGATGTGACTCACAGAATTTATTACACAACATAGAGTATCCCAGGCTGTATAAACCGAAAGAGAGCAGCTAATTCACATTTATATGGTGGACTGGTAACCCTAGTGCTCAAATCCTAGCATGGTCTGCTGTCGTCTACAACCTTCAGCAAACCAGACAGCCGTAACGCGTCCTGGGCCTCACTGTGTCATACCACAGGACGGTATGACAGCCCAGTCCGCGCTCAGAAACCTGTGCTTCAAGCCCTTGGCACATTCTCTTTGTCTTTTCAACAATTTTAGGGCCGCGGCGGCATTTTGTGTTTGCAGCTGGTCGCCATGGCACCGGTTGTCAGGGAGATTTTTCTACAAATGCCTCTGAGGGTCTGGTGGAGCTCACTGCGTGACTCAGAGGCTTATGTCGACCCCTTCTCCCCCGAGACAATGCCTTGTGCAGCTCTTCAGGTGGGTTCTTTCAGTGTTTCCTCCTGAAGTCACCTCCCAGGCGGAGGGCGCCATGTAAACAACAGGTGACAAGAGCGAGCCGGAGACAGGCTGCCGGTATCCTGAAGGACCAGAGGACGCAGACGCTCGCGCACATGTAGGTGCAGGGCCAGCTGCTTTATTCTGTTTAGTGAAATACTTCCCATATTTTAGCTGGTGCATTTCAGCGCTCGGCCCGCATGAGTCTATTTATACACATTCTACTTCCTTTGAGATGAAATCTTCAGGTCTTACGCAGAAGGCTGTATGCCAAGAGCAGCTGTTATGCTATGACAGCTTTTCTGAGGAAATGTTTACCCTGTAAGTAAGATTTCAGTTGTGTCTAGACCTCTCCGCATTATGCATGGGAGAATTTTACTGCATGTAAACATGACAAGAGTTGTCACTTTGCCAGACTGGCAGCAAGCTGTGATACCAAGCCAGCGCAGGCATGAGGAATGAGACACAGCACCCTTAGAAAACGCATAGCGCCATCTAGTGGCTGACGGCGAACAGCCATCGGGCCTTCTGTCCAAATCAGTGAGTCCCAGCCCTGACGCTGGAGTCTTTCAGCCCATCTGAGCCCTTAAGCAGCACTTTTCTGGACCCATTCAGCCGCCTGTCTCAGCACAGTCATGCGGTCTGTGTTCCTCTGTGTCAGCTGAATAACGAGCACATGACAGGTTATTATGGAAGTGGGTTTTACACGAAAGCCACCCCACAACAGCCAAAATGCTATGAGGTAAAGAGTAACAGTGAGCAAAGTTAACTACTGACTACGTACATGATTTCAGAAGCCTGTGTAAGGAAACGACATTGTTTTAGCTATACATTTGATTTCCCTTAGCATATTAATAATTTTAAATTCATCCAGGTTTTTTAGATCTGCTAGTATAAAAACACTACATTAAATACACATTAAGACAAACTACACAGAGATTAAGGAATCGTATTAGCGACAGCAACCAGCAGCGGTCAGGCTTATTGCATTACCTGCTAAGTGCCACCGGGTGGCAGCAGAAGATGGGAATTAAACTAACAGACTAACCCTGACGAACATTGAGCGCAAAATTGAAATCCCGATAAGAAGGGATTTCTGTAAAATATGCACATGTATCAGCTGAAAAAGAATTGTCAGCATCAATCTAACAAACATGTATCAAAATAAATCTGAGTAGATGGTTTAAAACACCAAACCACAATACACTAAATATTTGAAATTACAAAAAGTGAAGTTAAGTAAAAAAGTGAAAAACATGGCATGGCGACGTGGACAAAAATGAATGGGGAAATCCCTCGTAGTATTTTATTTTGGTTAAGATTGACTTTGTTCCAGTTTGGACTGTGGACATCTTTATGAATATCTTTCAATTCCACTCGGTATCTAAAA